TAAACAATTCGGATTCCATATCCTGACTTACATATGTTTTGGATTAAATTTGTATATTTTTTTTATCTCTCCCAATCATCCTGCATAATTGAGCATTGACTTGACATTTGAGTGGATTGTTTTGGCTGTGCTGCATTGCCTTGACCACACCACGTGTGTGTGCTATGCTGTGTACATGCCTGCAGCCTGGAGACTTCGTCCACACCCTTGGAGATGCTCATGTCTACGTCAACCATGTAGAGCCGCTGAAAACACAGGTGAGGTGCTTGTGGTTCGAGTCTACTTCACCTACATGACGGATTCACATCGGTCATTCGATTGGGCGGCAGGGTGGCGCAGTGGTAACACTTGTGCCTCACAGAAAGAAGGGCCTGCGTTTGTTTCCTGATAGGTTGCCTTTCTGTGTGTGGTTTGAATGTTCCCCTCTTCTGCATAGCTTTCCTCCAGGTTCTCTGTTTTCCTCCCATAGCTAAAAAATAAACCCATGACACTAAGTAACTGGTTACTGGCCGAACATCTCATTGCTGATAAATTATCTGCAAATTACTGAAATGGGATACAGCATGTGAACATTTGGCAGGACCCCCCCCCTGTAATAGAGTCAAATTAATATAAATCAATACTCCCTTGCCACTCTGCTTCATATATACATTCCAAATGCTAATTAGCATATGCATATTTAATTAGGCGTCTGGGATGCAGTAGTTCCTTGGGTCAAATTCTAAATTGAGCTGTATACGTCTCTTCTACACTCCCCTCAATAAGTTCTGGCAATACTTAAACCTTTTAATTGGTTACCATCTGAGGTTGAAAGAGTTTATGCATTAGCTCTGACCATCCCTCTATCCATATGTCTAGAATTAAGATGATCCAATATGAATTAAACTGCATAAAGTTGTGTTGCTCTTTGGGACTTTCCTGATAAAAAAGCACTTACAAATGAGGAAATATTCCTCTTTGCTCTGGTATGTTTTTTTCCATTTTGAGGCACCCTTTAATCAATTTGGCCAATGTTAAATAGGTAAGTCCCTAATAGCAACACAACTTGATGCTGCAGGCTTGTTCATGTTAGATAATCTTCACAAGTTATAGTGGCCCTCTGTTACGGATGGATGGACGGACAAAGCTAATGCATAAAGGCTTCAATCTTCATTGGAGAGGCTGGTGTGCCCCAGCTTGTGAGGTGAATGTGCCTTTCCAGCCAGACGTGGGTCTCGCCACCTCTCACCCTACCCATCAGATACTTTTACCTGGTGTTGGTCTCACTGTTTAGCAGTTTACTAATGTAACATAAACTTTTAACAATGTAAGCATTAAGTAGTCACCTTACAGGCTACTGCTGTATCCAATAAACCCATTTTGACTGGGAGCGTGTGCTTTGATGAAAACAAATGTGGGGAGCGGTCATGTAATAGCGTGCTGCGATACAAACCCAGCAACTCAAGTTCGGTTCCCACTCATGACCGACACCAGTGACGATTATCTGAACTGGTCTTGGGCCTCCCCTAGATCCACTCATTCTCAAATGAGTACTTGGTGCGGTGTTAAAAAATTGCCACTGGGGAGACAGAGACTTTGTTGATAAATCACTATGGCCCAATCTTAAATTTCACCTCATTGACCAATGTGATGAGGTATGGTAAAATAATCCCAATCGTATGGGCAGGTCCTCATCCAGTAGTCGCCTGACAATTGGCTGGTTCCGAGTCTGAAGCAAAGGTTGAATGTGTGTTAAGAATTCTAGATTTGAAGCTTTCGTGACTGCAAGGATCCATACTCTTTGGTTCTATTCGGTAAAGTCACGTAGGTAAAAAATAAAACAACAAATATGACGACGTTTCGGCCACAACACAAGTGGCCTTCATCAGGTGAAGGGACCGGACTGTCCAGAGGACAGCGTTGGAGTGAAGACAGCCAAGCCCAGGTCGCGTCCTTTAAGCGACCTGGGCTATAGTTTAATCGAATACCATAGGAATGAAAATAACACATTCTGCCTCGCGATTGTCTTTGCAGCTGCAACGGGAGCCGCGCCCATTTCCGACGCTGCACATTCGCCGCACGGTGACGTCAATCGACGACTTCCGTTCCGACGACTTTGAGCTGCGAGACTACGACCCCCACGCAGCCATAAAAATGGACATGGCCGTTTAGAACGAGTGCTTAGCCATGATCGCCCCTTTTTGTGTCATTTCCCTATTCCGTTGGTCTCTACTTCACACCTGGTGATTCGACCAGACTCAAGTTCGCTCTGCCCAGATCCTGCATGGCCATGCACCATTGCACATTACCAATCCTTGGATAAGGCGGGGGCAGGGAAGAATTTTGAATTCTGCCCTCCCTGTCCATTGAATAACATACAAATCAACATATTTGTTAGTGTCAGAGTACCGTAAAGGCGATTGTCAAATGTGGTGTCCTGGACACCGTTTTCAGGGATCATTTAGCAAATTATGTTTATATATATAGTACATCCACCGAGGAGATGGAGCGATGAGATTGGTTCATGTGCAGGTGCTGGATGGATTGTATGTTGCATCGCAGGATCGTGAAAGGTGGCTGTGGCTCGGGGAAGCCATTGTCCAGCAGTAGATTGATCATGCTTGATGGTGGTATAATATATTTCTCCTCCTGAGGTTGTTATTCCAATCTTGGAAAGTGTTTATATTTGTGAGATTGTTTTGAACAATTGTCAAGATTGAAATTATACCTATAATTGGGATCCAGGTGATCGATATATCCTGTAGAGGGCATTGTCCACAGCTATATAAACTACCTCCACTCTATTGTGGAAACTTTACAGAAGGCTCCTGACAAAACAAACGATATTTCTGGTTGTAGCGTGGAGTCAACGGAACATTAGTTTGAGAACACAAGCTGACACTGCCACTTTTACATGCCATAAATCACATTTCTAAGCATTCCCCTCGGTCGAGTTTGATGATATGGAACAATGAGCTGTTTGAATCAACATTAGTTTTGGCCTGTCAACTTCTCCAGGATAGTGTTAATTATTCCTCATTGTTGCATGATGTACAGTTAATGTTGGGTGTGGTGATTATACTTTGCCACATTTAAGTGAATCGAAATATTTAGAGTACAAGTGAACTGCATGCATTTTTTATTTTATCATTCACATACGAAATGAAACGTGTACACATCACTTTTATTTGTAGTTCATATTGAAATATAAATATGTAGAGTGCTGTCTTTATTTAGCATTTTATAAGGAAATACAAATTAAAGGATGTTAGGTTTCTGTGGAGGTGTTTGCGGTTGTGCCGTATAGCCCTCTGATGTATATTTCTCACACTCCAGGCATGTGCAGAGAAACGTCGGACATCATGCCAGACAACACGGGGCAACCCTAAAATACATTGGAGAGCTATGTGAAGCTTCTAATTACATTTGTTAGATATGAATGCGAATTGTATGCTTAAAGTATATAAAGCTATTCTTTGTAGATTTTCACGCGTGAATTTAAAGGGTAACATTAAGCTACATTTCAGATGGGAATTCCACCTACATTTCATATGGACATTAGGGATTATTACATTTTTAGCATTTCATAGCTTTGATGGATATTGCAAGTAAACGTAAAAATACATATAGTTGATAATTACTTTTTAAAATAAGCCTGCAGTAGCTTATGTTCAGATACAAATTCAAACCATGTCAAGTGTGTTGTACAGTATTTCAGAGTTTAGATGGACATTAAAGTGGTTATTGTAAATCACATTTCAAATGGAAAATTAATACTGGTAGGAACGAAGTTGTAAACTGAGTGTACCAGCCTGCAATAGATTAATGTGTCCGTCCGTCCCCTTTCAATACTTTAACGAAGTGAAATCTCGTGCAGTTGGGGTGTAAAAATAAAATTGCGCAAAATTCCAATGTTCCTACCAGCCCACCCTGCAGGGACCTGTTTCAAGGTGAATTCAACTTCTTTTGGAAACTCGCTTCAGGCACATTGGTGTGGTGAATTTTACTAACTTACATATTTTATAAAAAGTCACTTCTGCTCTGGCATTCCTTTGTATTTCATCATTGATCCTTTTCACCCTCAATAAATGTCCTATCTATACACACTGACTTATCCAGTTGTATTCCTTCAACTGCTTCAGCAAACGTACATAATAGATGACGTTTCGGGCAATGGGCCTCAGCGTGACTTGCTCATTTGTGTTCAGCCCAACTTGTTAAGTTAGTCAATAATCTGTACGGTAGTTCACTGTTGATGTAATAACGTATCAGAAAATATCATTTTGGTTGTCGAATGCAATTTTCCAAAAATGTATTTTGTTCCTGAACACCCTTGGTGAGAATATCTCCCTGCCCGACACTGATTTGTAGTAAATTTAGGAAACGTCAGTGTTGCTGTTTCATCTCTAAATTGTTTTGATAATTTAAATATATAGTTTTAATGAGGCGTTGGTTTGGCAGAGTTTGGGTGACTCGGTTTCCATACAAATAAATACCTTTTTAATAGTTCACAAAAGCCAGTTGCAATAGTATTTAATGTCTTAGAAAATATGATGGTTATGTGCCCAGTAAACATTCAACTTTGGGCCATCGTCGGCAGGTGGTTGGATCCATTGTACCAACCTTGGCCCAAAGTTCCATGTTTACTTTGTAGTCAGTGGTAGATTGGCATCGCAGGATTGTGAGAGATGGAGAAAAGATGGAGAGAGTTAAATCCAGCAGTGGATAGGCCACGTCCAATGATAAATACACTTATTTTGAATCTCAAAGATATAACGGAAACAAATATATATCGCAGTGTATACATTTGAACTGTGTTTCAGAATACAGGTAACTGAATTTAAATAATAAAGCCCCGATTTTATTTCCTAATTGAAACGGCGCTTTGCACATTCAAAAATTGAAGCTTTCATCCGTTTTTGTATTTGGCATTGTCAGGGTCGTTTACATTTCCCAGCGCGGATAGGCGCCGCATTTGTCAGGATCTTTTACATTCCCCAGCGCGGATAGGCGCGACCCGCGAGCGGTCGTGAGGAAACCACGTGACCTCGCGTCAAACAAAGGCGCCGTGAGGAGGCGCGGGTCCAGCCGAGCTCGCTCGGCTCCCCCCCCCCCCCTTTTAAAACAACAGCAGCATCACCGTCATTATCAACGCCTTCACGACACAACGCCAACGAGATCCGCGTCTCTTGTCAATGCGCCACGAGCAAAGCCGTCGCCTCGTTGCTTCTTCGCTCCTCGGGGGGGTCGAGAAGAGGTCGCTAGTCCGGGACATCCCTCCACGACCCCCCCCCCGTCACTCGCAGCCCTACCGACCGGGACGCGCCTTCCTCGGTAGGGTCGCTAGCCGTGTCGGCGTCTCCCGCCGGGCCTGCGGCCTAGACGCATCCCCCCCCCCCCACGCGACCCCGAGTGGCGGAGGACGAGTGGTGGGGAGTGAGTGAGCGAGAGAGAACCGTCCCCTCTTCAGTCGAGTTGCTCGGCCACTCGCCGTAGCTCGCAAATCCCCGCATGGCTTCCCGCAACAACCGCGTGGTGACCGAGGGTGTTGGGGCTCGCATCGTCCGCGGGCCCGACTGGAAGTGGGGCAAGCAGGACGGAGGCGAAGGCCACGCCGGCACCGTGAGGAGCTTCGAGAGCCCCGAGGAGGTGGTGGTCGTGTGGGACAACGGCACCGCCGCCAACTACCGCTGCTCGGGCGCCTACGACCTGCGTATCCTGGACAGCGCGCCCACAGGTACCCCCTCGCCTACTCGCCCGCCTGGACGGTGGGGAAGGAGGAGGAGAGTGGGAGGGGTGCTGGTGGTGTATGTGAAGTGGAAAGGAGAGTTGAGCGACTGGGTGAACGAGTGGGGGGATAGAGTGGATGGCGGGTGCAGTCGATGACCGGTAGGATGAGTGACTGGTAGGATGGGGTGACTGGTAGGATGGGGTGAGGTAATCCTGGGTGACTGGTAATCCTGGGTGACTGGTAATCCTGGGTGACCGGTAGGATGGGGTGACTGATAGGATGTGTGACTGGTAATCCTGGGTGACCGGTAGGATGAGTGACTGATAATCCTGGGTGACCGGTAGGATGGGGTGACCGGTAGGATGAGTGACTGATAATCCTGGGTGACCGGTAGGATGGGGTGACCGGTAGGATGAGTGACTGATAATCCTGGGTGACCGGTAGGATGGGGTGACCGGTAGGATGAGTGACTGGTAGGATGGGGTGACCGGTAGGATGGGGTGACCGGTAGGATGAGTGACTGGTAGGATGGGGTGACCGGTAGGATGGGGTGACCGGTAGGATGAGTGACTGGTAATCCTGGGTGACCGGTAGGATGAGTGACTGGTAGGATGAGTGACTGGTAATCCTGGGTGACCGGTAGGATGGGGTGACCGGTAGGATGGGGTGGCCGGCTGGGTTACAAATAGACTTTAGTCACAGGCGTGATGGGTCAGAGTTGGTAGCAGCTACTTGTGTCAGCCACGGGTACAGCGGGGGCATGGGGTTATTACATTGGGTGACTGGTCCACTGGAGGCTTGGCTAGTTGACGACGACGAGGCTGTCTGTGTGACAGAGTGATGAGTAGAGTTCGTGAATGGTTAAATAGCTCTGTGGCAGCATGGCTGTGCGACGGGTTAACTGGACGGCGTCTTCGCCGAGAGGCAGGCTGTGTGAAGATGGGTCGAGCAAGAGACAGACTTGGTGAAGAGTGAAGCAAATATGAGCTCGGTGAGGCTGGGTCACAGGTGGACTGGGTAAAATATACAATGGGCGATAGGTAGAGTGGGTAACAGTGGGTAACGTGTAGAGTGGATAATATAGGTCGGCTGGTTAACAGGTAGACTGTGTAACGTCATGTACATTGGGTGATGGGTAGAGCGGATGATGAGTTCGGTGAGAGGCTGGGACTCAAGTTCACAGACTGACAAATAATGTGACTGGTAGACCAGGTGGCAGGCACACTGACGGGACTGGGTGACACTTGGAGTGGTTTGGGTGAATTATGAACTCCTTGGATGACATTCCAGCCAAGACTGTTTTTTAAAAAAATCTGAAGGAGTCTTTAGATTGCCCGTGTGGGTGTACAGTTTATATTGATCAACATTGCTATTGTAGTTGTCACAGTCTTGCCTCGGTTCTACGGGGCTTTGTGAATGTGTGGCATAGAAGTACAGTACAAACACAAAATGGACTGCAGCCTATACCAACCTAAAATGCATTTCGATTATTCATAATAAACGTTTTTGGGTTGATCGTCATGAGTATAAATGTGTCGTAACCCTCCACGACCTGACACAGCCAGCAAGGTTTGTCACGTAAACAACGCGCCAATTAGTTTACTACTTCAGCCCACCGGTGTGCTGGAGAGTAAATCCACAACATTTACAATTTGAATACCAGCACAAACGGTGTGCTTAGCTTTCTCAATCTGACATGCTGCGTAATTTGGTCATCGGTAATTCATTATACCAAAGTTTTTTTCTGTTTACTTGTAAATGTTTGTTCAAAGTGATCGGCGACTCTACTCGTGTGAAGGAAGTGTTGGGTCTTGAAGTGGTGTCTAATGTGTAGGAATATATATTTTAAATTGAATTAATTTATTTATTCGTCGACATGTTTTAAGTCACATGGGGCATCGAGTCACTGACCCTGGACGAGTAAGGGACGTCTGATAATTAAATATCAGTGGAATAATTGGGAATCGATTGTGAAAAACATGCTTAGTTTATAGTGTTCGTAAGCAGGCAGTGTGAACTTTAGAGTTGCAACAAGGTTTTAGAATGTAACCCGTAAACAACATGCGAAGACGTGGTTGTTTCTCCACTACACATGAGGCTAATATTAGGCCCATTTCCCCCGCTCTGTATCTTGTTGCAGTGTGTGTTGCAACCGGTGTAAACCTCACGTGTTTATTGCGATACGTTGACATTGCTTAAGGTATCATCAGTAATTGCAATTCAAAATATGAGTTTAAATATAGAGAGACCTCAACAAATAATTTGCTAACGGAGGAACCAACCCCAAAAGCCTATGACCATATCGCCCAGAATGCACCCGACATCATGCAGATATCAGAAGCTAAGCCAGGTTTGAGCCTGGATGGTGCTTGGATTGGTGAGCAACATGAGTTTGATTATAAGCTGCGGCGATATCAGGTGGGGCAACAGAGGGTAGTGTCGCCAAATTGGTTGTTGTACTGTACAGTACTTGCATACTTCCACATCCCCCCATCTTCAACGAATCTCCACTGATCAGCGTGGTGAAGTATGGTCAAAACAACCCCCACGACCAGCAGAGGATTGACAAAATGGTTGAAAATGGCAACAGTTATATACTGTTTTGTGATTTTCTTTAATTCTATCTCATTTGCACATTGTGAGCTGAAGCCTTTTAGCACATGCTACTCTTCTTTGTTATCAGTGTAAATATGTATTCAAGCTCTCTTACAGAGCATCTCTTTTCATGGTGTGCTTGGGAGTCCACACGGCCCCATCTGGTGTCCACACGGCCCCATCTGGTGTCCACGCAGCCCCATCTGGTATTGTCCGAGTGGGAAGGCTTGAGCCGAGCAGGTGCTCGAATTGGACATGGCGATGTCACGTAACATCCGATTTCCGGGCAGTCATTTGTTTACCCGTAAATGACTCGAGAAGACGCTATTTTAGGAGGTTTCTGCTGGGAATTGGGACATTATTCTAACCAATTCCATTAACGAGTGTTTGCCTTCATGTGGGAGGAAGCTGGAGAAATCCGACTCCTCCTGCAAGGGGGTAACACTCAAAAGTCTGTTTGGGTTCGCAAACCCACTTGCTCTTCAGACTATCATTGCTCTTAACATTGTTTGTATAATGACGTGATCTTGTTTTCAACTACTTATTAAGTTGTAATTCTATTTATAATGTAGCTTCAAGACTCTTTTTTTTGGAGGGTCCTGCTATGGGGATTTTTTTACCCTCTGCTGCCAGTAAGAAGAAGTGTTTTGTTTGTGGGAGGAAAGAGGAGTACCAAGAGAAAGGCCACCACACTCAAACATCCACACAGACTGGCTCATGTATCCAACTACTCTCCTGTCATCTCGCCTCCTCGCAGCCCAGCGTTTTTTGGAGTTTCACAAATCTGTGCGTGATCCACCAACCCTTTCTATTATTATTATGACTACTACTTACGCTTGTTTACCCAGGAAAGCCTCACTGGAGTCTCGTGGCTCTTTTTCAGGAGGGTCCTGCCAGGCTTTTACGGTAGGGGCAATGATTGATGTGTTTATTCCAATTTAGTAATTTGCAGGTAATTTTTTGAAGTTTTGGCAAATTCTAACCATGACGCTGGTACTTGAGAATGCCGTCATCGTACCTTGCCTCCAAAGCGACAGGTCACAGACATGCGCCACCTCGCCTGACTCTTGTTGTACTCTGTCTTGTTTAGTTTCACTGATTGCGAGTTCTGTATCATGCTGTGAAATGCTTTGAAATGGTTTAAAATCACAGGACATGAACATTCTTATTATTGTTGCTGCTGCAGCATTTGCTATGAGGTCTTTGACAGGGGGTTTGCCTGTCACGGAATAAATATCTTAAGCGGTGAATATTATGGGCTACAATGTGTATGAGAAACATGGTAAGTGACAAATAAATTTAAGGCTGAAAGTGCGCAAAGAAGAGTGGAGAGTTGCATGCTTGAAATTACACTCAGAGACAGGAAGAGGAACGCATTGATTGCAGCCCCAGCAGGTTTGGCAGGTTCACGAATCTTCGTGCGATCCACTAACCCTCACTTTCAAAGCACCACGGGTCATATAAACACCTGTGCCACCACCACCATGCCCGGCCCTGACGGCCAGCTCTGGTAGCTTTCCTCCTGTGACGGCTCTCGTATCTCTCCCCTCTCCGCCCCATATTCCCCGGCAGGAATTAAGCACGATGGCACAATGTGTGATACCTGCCGCCTGCAGCCCATCATCGGTATCCGCTGGAAGTGTGCCGAGTGCACCAACTACGACCTGTGCACGGCATGCTACCACGGGGACAAACACCACCTGCGTCACCGCTTCTACCGCATCACCACGCCCGGCAGCGAAAGGTTTGATTCAAGACACAGAATCAGAAGTATTTATTTACAATGGAGGAATCCAATGAGTTATAAAGCTCTTTTTCAATCGGGGCGCGACGGGGGGAAACGATGCCTCTTCTCCACTGTACAAATGAGCTTCACCCGAGCCATGCTGAGCGAGCCTGGTGCTGCTCGGGATGTGCCAAGTTGTTTTTTTCCACTGCAGAAGCCGAGCCGTGTCGCGCTGATGTCATACGCAATGAAGGAGTCGAGTGGCATGTAGATGATGGCGGTGTCACTTTGTCCCTCATAGTATACGGACTGACATTAGATGCATGAAACAGGTAATTGGCTCCGCCCTTGGCCCTGCTTGGCCCTAAGTAAAATGTATACGGAAGGTTTGGTAAGCACGGTAAATGGCATGGGAATCCATCCATGCCTTGATTGTGCTGTGCTGGCTCGATTTTAATGTGCTATATTCGGGAGCCTTCATTTTGTTAGGCCTATGCTATTCTAGGATCAATTTCTCACCGAATATGTTTCGGGTCCCTGCTAGACTGGAAGAGACATGTGACTGGTAACCACTGCCATAACGAGAGGGTATACTGGTTGTGGTGTCCCGTGGATGGATACATGTTCTGGGTCACGGACCTGGACATGCCTGGCTACAATTAACCACTGGACTTATGAGGAAATCACCTGGAACGCTCCCTGTCTGGTCAGCTCTTGAAATGTAAGCTGGGTTGAGCTCTTGGATGGGTGACTAAATGAGAATATTTATACTGGAGGAATCCGACAACCTATAAAGCTCTTTTTTACAGATTTACAGTATTGGCGGGTAAGAACGCTACAACACCAAACAGTATGAAAACATGATAGTCGTACAAAAACATGACTGGCATGCACAGTAGATGCTATAGGCTGCTCCAGGGCTTTCACCAACACGCACTGATAGGTTTGGTGAAGTATGGCCAAATAGCCCTCTTGAACCTCGCCGTGTCGGGAAATCCCGCTTTTAGCAGTGTATTGACAAGTGGACAAGGTAAATTTTTATTAGAGGGTTGCGACTGTACAAATAACCTGTCTTGGGCTTCCCTTAGGTTGACTTAGCCTTAATTGAGTACCTGGTGTGGTATGTAAACATTCTCCCTGGGGACATACTGGGAGCCTCTTAGGCACCACATAGTTGCTCTTAAATAGGTGCTTGCTAACAGAAGCCTTTTTGACTGCAGCAGCCAATGAAGCTGAAATAGGGTTATGTGTCTTTGTGTGCAATTATGTGTGCGTGTAACATGGCAAATTGTATAACGTGGTATGTTCTGGTATGCTTTATCTTGTTATGGTATGGTGTGTGCTCAGGTTTGGTGTATGGTGCCCAAATGCTTCGTGTCTGTTGTACTGCGGCGTGTTGTGGCATGTCGTGTGCTTTGGGACATGTTGTGATGCAGTATACTCTGGTGTGTAATGCGAGCTTGGGTGGTGTATGGGGGTAAGCGGTGACGTGCCTCTTCGTGCCGCGGCCTGTTGTGGTACAACACGGCTCGTCGTGACACGACGCGGCGTGTTGTGACGCGCCGTGTTGTGATGTGGTGTGTTGTGACGCGCCGTGTTGTGACGCGCCGTGTTGTAATGCGGTGTGTTGTGACGCGCCGTGTTGTGACGCGCCGTCTTGTGACGCTCTGTCTTGTGACACGCTGCTCGTTTGTGACGCGCTGTGTCGTGACGCGCCGGACGTTGTGACGCGCTGCGGTGCCCCGCAGGGTGCTGCTGGAGTCTCGCCGCAAGTCTAAGAAGATCACGAGCCGCGGCATCTTCCCCGGTGCGCGCGTCGTGCGTGGGGTCGACTGGCAGTGGGAGGACCAGGACGGGGGGAACGGGCGCAGAGGAAAGGTGTGTGCCGTGGTGCCGTCCTCGAAGCAGAGGAATTGCGCCAGCGTACCTCGGCATGTGACCAAAAGCAGATTGCTATTGAGGAGTTCATTGTTGTTTTTTGACACTGATGTTTTTTTAAATTTTACTTTCCCAGAGCAATCACACTTTGTTTGAGTTCTGCAATGACGGGTTCTTGGTTCAAGTTCCCTCCATCATGTCCGATATTGTGCTTTACTATTTACCTTGTCCTCTGGCCACCCCCATTCTTCCAATTATTAAGCAGCACATTTTTCCTTTCTTTGTCTTTTCCCAAAATCCCTCGAGAGCTTACTTCAGCAAGCCTTCCCCTTTGTCAATATTCTCGATGTAGAGATATGTTTCCTGCTCTGAGTTGGTTTATCTAGACTTCTCTCCTACTGACGCCAATTTTAGCACTTTCTGGATACTCTTTCTGTCTGTCCAACTGATTTTATCCATTTGACACTGAACAGAGACACACAGAATTCTAAAACGTCCGGTGTTACGTATTTGTTTCTCGCCGTAAACATCCCTGTGAAATATAAAACTAGACCCCACACCCGGCCTTGAAGAATCTCTTGCTCAGTTCCCCGCCCAGCCTTCTAATCCGCAGCAACTTTTGCTTTCTTACTCCACTGTTTCCATATAAATCCCAGACTATATATATATTTTTTATCAGGTTGGGGGGTCTCTTTGTAAATGCTTATTTTGTCATCATCTGTTCATAGTTAAAAATTAGTTTATCCAGGAAAGCAAAACTGATTATCTTGACCTTTTCAGGAGGGTCCTGCAAAGGGATGTTTTTTTTTTGCCATTACAATTACTTCTCAAGGACTATGTGGCACATTGAAGGAACGGACATAAAAAACCCCCACACTCGCCCATCTACACAGACGGGTTCCCCAAGCCGCTTACTGTGCTGTAATCCTGCCTCCTTGCTGACCAGTGGGTTTGGAAGTTTCACAAATTTGTGTGATCCACCAACCCTTACCGCCAAAGTGCTGCATCGCAGGCATGTGCCATCTCGTCGGGCTTTTTGTTTATTCCGTGTCTTGTTTTGTTTCATTCATTGCGGGTTGTGTATCAAGTTGTGAAATACTTTCAGGTGGTTCTCTTTAAAAAAACACAACAAATGTCCCTTCTACAAACATCGTTGTTGTTGGCTGTTGGTGTGCGCTTAGGAGGTATGTAGTCTTTGACAATCATAAACACGGACATCGACAAAGAAAATGGAACAAAAGTTGAAGATTGTGCAAAGACACATGGGGAGGTGTGTGCTTTGGAATTACACTGAGAGACAGAAAGAGCAAAACACGAATTGAAGACTATGCCCACATTAGAGACATATATCTTTTTTTAAAGCTTTTGTGACTGCAGTAATTCATATTCTTAGCTCTTTCGGTAAAGTCACGTTGAAGGGAAACAATAAAATATATATAAACAATAAAAATTCTCACGACGTTTCGACCATAACACAAACGGTGTTCTCACGACGTTTCGACCATAACACCGTGAGAATTTGTATTGTTTTATATATATTTTATTATTTTATTGTTTCCCTTCAACGTGACTTTACCAAAAGAGCTAAGGACATGTATCTTGTTAAAAATGTAAGTTGGCGTGGATAGGACATGTTCGCGAGAATTGATCATGACCGGTGATTAACACTTAATGGCTGCGTGACAGCCCATGGAGGGAACATGTCTCAGAGAGGGCATCTACCGTGGAGATAAAGTGACCAAATTATCTTGTGTGGAAGAGTTATATTGATTAGATTGAAAACTAATTTCTTCAGAACTTTTTTCTAGTTTGTTGTCCTTCCCCCGCACCTCCGATTAGCGCGGTTGGCTACGTACGGTGCGAAAGAAGTTCAACATACATTGTCACATTGCAGTGTCATTGTGAGATACGGCGTCAGATTGGGGGAGCCTCCTTCCACTGGTAGATAGATTCTGGCTAAATATTACGAAGTTCGCCTCTTCCGCTCAGGTGACGGAGATACAGGACTGGAGCGCCGCGAGTCCGCGCAGTGCCGCCTACGTGCTGTGGGACAATGGCGCCAAGAACCTGTACCGCGTGGGCTTCGAGGGCATGGTAAGAGGCATCTCCTCCTCTTCCTCCTCCGCGCTTTCTTCCTCTTCATTGTGAGCCAACGTATTCGCTCCCTCAGTTGCTGTTTCTCGGAACTGGTAGATAGGCAAGTGTAAAACACAGAGACAATTTCAACCGAGAAGATGGATTATGGCTTAGCAATCATTGGAAGGATTTGATAAACCATTTCGGGTCTTAATTGATTGTTCACGCTTACGGTGGCTTTCAGACCGCATCCATTATTTTCGTCTCCCCCCTCTTTTCCGAACATAGATGGACTCGTCCATCTGAATAACTGCCAAATCGCTTTCCGTGGTGCTACAGTTAAAAAAACAGCCACTTTTTTCAAATTTTCTTTCTGTGGTTTTCACACCTGATGATGATTGCTTGTGTTGCAGTCGAAACGTTGTGATAATTTTTTATTGTTTTACATATTATTTATTTTTTATTTTATTGTTTCCCTTCTACGCGACTTTACCGAAAGAACCAAGAATATGAAGTGTAAATGACTTACAAGTTCGGAATAGAGCGTGGCAGCATCATATTGTAGATGTAATCACAAATAGGGGGCTGTGATGGATTGGGACACCTGTGTAGAATGGGGGGTGAGGTCAGCGACTCGGAGAAGACCCAGAGCCCCATGGTGGGATACCGCCAGAGCTGCCATTGAAAAGTCACGTGTCAACTGGACAACAGATATGGGATCTGGGATCTAGCAGATAGCGAGGTGTCACGACATCAGTCGTTTTGGCCGTGATTTAATATTAATTTTTTGTTGCTTCATAAAATGTTTCGATTGGTATTTTCCTGGAAGGTTTTGTTGCCGCCCTGCCTGCGGGTTGCTGCCGTTTCGTTTTGTGTAAGAGTCGCGTAGAGTAAGTTCGCTCAACCAAAATTATTGTCGACGGGGACACAACAGGAAAACAACGGAGTGTGCGCGCCTAGGACGGATTATTGAAGGTGGTTCTGGATCAGAGCCATGAAATAAGCGGCAAACGAGAGCAGGTTGGAGGCGTTTCGGAAAAAAAAACTTAATTTGGTGATGAAAAGCAACGTTTCAGCATGCCTAACGAAGAAAGTTTTTGAATCGGTTCATATTTCCTGCTCTGACACATGAATAAAAAACACGGGCAACGACAAAGAAAATGGAAAAAAAGCTCTGACGTGCGCCAAGAAGCATGGAGAGGCACAGTCATGGAATTAGATTGGAGACATCACTTTGATGATTCTTAAGAAAATCAAATGGGCATGGGTAGGACACCCCACTAGAGGGTTTTTAATATCTGGTGGATGAGACCGCTGATGGAATGACAGCCAAAGGAGGGAACCCGTCCGGTACGATGACCGTGGCGCAGACTGAGAGATGGAAATTGGCTTGTGCTCTGGAGCGGGATTAATTGTGTAAATCCAAAACTCAGGGATGGCGACCAATGTGGGGAGGCCTTCATTCGGCTAGCAGTGGATATACAATGACAAATCGTCGCCTTGTTTCAATGGGCTCCTTTCTGGTAGTAAAAAAGTCGTTTAAATAAAGGCCAGCTGTCTTTCAAGGGAGGCGGCCTATTACATAAATACAGCAAACTTGCAAAGCCCACCGCTTGGACAGAACAATGGAGAAAATACCGTTTGAGGAGCTGCAATCCTCTCTCTCTGTGTCTGCTTCACTTTGCCCCGTTATTCTTGCGAACTCCCCCAAGGTTTCACACCACTCCGTGGGGTGTGCGCACTGTAAGTCTGACGCCCGTGGCGTCTCTCTACCCCCTTTTGTTTGCCAACGCGGTGATGTTTGGCTGGAGGTCCAGGGCACGGGGCTGCTCCAAGCATTCGCGTGCCGCCTGCCGCCTCATTGTGCGCCGGCTTTGCAGCCGAAGTCCAACCCCGAGACTTTTTGAAGGGAGCCGTCGGGCTTCCTTTTGTCTACCCACGAATTGATTATGTCCATCAGTCTGTCCGTTCGTCCATCTGTTCGCACGAGGGCGCTTGACGCTCTTGCGCGAAAGCTACAAGGGCCCTAACCAATTGCCATGAAACTTACCGCGCAGCTCCCCAGTGTTCACATCTGTACAGTTTTTGTGGTAATATTGGCAACTAAATATATTTTTTAAAGTTTATTTTAGTTTGGTGTATTCCTTTGGGAGACGAGATGGTAGCCGCTAGACGAGAACAATGGAACAGTGGCAGCTGGCAGGGACCGCGCCTGAGAGGACGTCCACCACGGATTTGAAGCAAAGGAATTATCTTGTGTGCCAAAGCTGGATGGATTGGATTCCTCACAGGACCACGAAAGATAGCTATGGCTTGGTGGGAGAGGGGGGGTGGTCTTCATCCAGCAGTGGATAAATCATGGCTGATGATTCTTACATCTAAAGTCTTCGGATTATAAAGCTATACAGCCTAGGGAATACCCTTACACAATGGAGACTCCATATATGGACTGGTTTGCCAGCTTTGTTTTTTTTATTGTGATTGCAGCCACGGCAGGGCCCCATGAGACAAGCCTCTCTCGCGTTGACGATGAAAAGCCCTCGCCTCGGCTTTTGTTAAGTGGGCGGTCGTGAGAGGGGAGGGCACCGAGGGCCAGGCTGAGGTTTGGAACAGTTGGCCTTGCTGGGGGTGAGGGACGTAATTTATCATCTGCTGGCCGGCATCTGTGTGCATTTTCACGCGCCTGTGCATGCATGCATGCATGTGAATGGAGAGGGTGTGCAGGGGTGCTATGGTGCAGTGATTCGCTCACCGTGCTACGAAACCCTGATTCCGGCTCGTGGCTAACGTCAGTGACGAATTTAGGAACCTGACTTGGGTCTCCCCACTGGGGAGACTGAAGACGGCCGGGGGCATGCTGCTGGTCACAACCACCCCCTCGTGTGTCGTCTTGGCCCTCATAGGTGTTCGCTAACGGCACTTGCCCCAACAGACTGTGTAGGCTACACGGGGAATCTTTGTCATGGAGAGGGTGTGGATGGGGGTAGGCGGAGGGCTCTTTGAGATCCGGAAAATAAAGGAAGAGCACAAAAGCTGGGCGCTGCTGTTCTCTTTCCCAGATGGCTCTCACAATCGCTACCCAAATGTGAGGCCTGAACTGTGAAGTCACGGAAAGAATCATTCCACATGCAGTATTGCACTCCACATGTAGGTTTCCGCAGCCAATATGATTCATCATTGATTTTTGGGTAAGGCCACGTAATGATCTGGCCAAAGTTATGACGTTAAATCCATCCAAGAAGTCTGATCTTGACTTTTAGAATTTTTTCCTCACTTCCTGGATATTGTCCTACTTGACGTAATTTGAAACGAAACGTCGTATCCAATAGCGAAATTTGGTTGTCTGAGAATTGTTCTTCAACTTCCATGTGAACCTAAAGAGTAATAATCACGTTAAACACTTGTACACGTGACAATTACATTTGTTTGGCTGTCGGATGGAGAAGGGTCTTAATGACATGAATTTGGCCTGATCGTTCCGTGGCATAGCGCAAAAATCAATTATGAATCTGTGTAACACTCGTTGTGTGCTGTAGTGAAGGATCATGGGCAGCAAATGTGTAATCAACAGACAAGACGTCCATATAAAATATATAATGAACGGGCAGGAAGTCCGTTAGAATATGTAATAAACAGACAGGAAGTTTGTTTTTCGAACGTAAAATCAAACCTCATTTATTTTTCCATCAACCCTTGAACTTTCTGAACTGATGATTTCAGTAGAATGTGTTTATGCAGGCAAACGCAGGACCTGATTTGACCTTCCAAGTTCCATCAAGAGTAAGCGATCGAACCTTCCGTCTGTTCCTTATTTTCAGCTTCTTCCGCCTGTTTAAAAAACGCAATTGGAATTCATGCAGTGGCTAAACGTCTCATGGTGCTGTACAGAAATGGTGGGCGCGTTTTTATTTAATCAAAAAAGGCATTCCGTCAGAAGAAGACATTGAATTCTTGGACTTAAGCAGGGGCAGTGAGTCGACAGTATATATGACTGGGGGAAGGGAGTTCCAGACTGTGTGGGCTACAGAGGAGAATGAGCGATCTCTCACCGAGCATAGGTTTCGACAGAAAGCTTGGTTCGCTGGAGCGCAGAGAGTGTGAGGAGAGCTTAGCCAGGGGCAAGTCCATGGGCGATATCTGTGTCGGTACGTAACGTTGCCCGCATGAAGAATGCGTGATGTGATCATAGTGCAATCTGCTTGTGATTAAAGTGACACTTTCTGGCTCGTTGTTTGTTTTACAGTCGGATTTGAAATGTATCCAAGACGCAAAGGGTGGATCCTTTTACAGAGATCACTGCCCAGTGTTGGGTAAGTTCCTGTGGTAGGCCCATCACACACCACAGTCCTGAGCCGGCATTTATAATATTAACCAAAATAATCGTGCTCCATAGCAATTTCTCTACTGCGGGATGAAGACCTCCCCAAGCCGTTGCCGTCCTTCACGGTCACGTGATTAAACTATCCGTCTGGCTCCTGCACACGAGCTGGTGTCTTCGCTCCAGCTCCTTAACAGACATCCTGCCGAGCATGTTCTCTCCTTCGGCTGTCATGCTGTCGTTAATCTCGACCACCGGCCGTAGTCCCTTCTTTGGACGTGGCCTATTCAGGCCCTCTTGCTCTAATATTAATACCGACCTTAATAATTGCCCAGTGACGCTTCATTGAGTTCAACACTCTTTTTCAGGAGGGTCTTGCTACATCGGAATATTTCTCCAATTCCCTTAATCCATGTTTGGTTTCATGTGTGAAGAAAGCGTGAAGGACCTGGAGAAATCCCACCATGCCTACTTAAGGATCGCACTCAGCTCTGCAAAGATAGCTTTAGTATGCATATTGACTCGCTATACTGAATTCATCTGTCAACTGATTTCTGCATTTAGACGACGACGATGACGGCTGTACATTGATCCGCAGGCGAGCTGAACGGGAGCCGGAATCCCGGCGGGCTGCAGATCAGCGACCTGGTGAACATCGACCTGGAGCTGGAGATTGTGCAGTCGCTGCAGCACGGCCACGGCGGCTGGACGGATGGCATGTTCGAGACGCTCTCCACCACCGGCACCGTGTGCGGCATCGACGAGGACCACGACATCGTCGTGCAGTACCCCAGCGGCAACAGGTGCTCGCCGCGCAGAGAGATTCTTCCAGGCCGCTGATTTACTGAATAGCATGGAAAGTTAAGTTTCTGTTCCGTCTGCTTCGCAACTGAGCTACTTTGGGAGTTACCCATTAATGTGTAACCCACCAGCTCTTGGTTCCAAATCGCTGATACACAGATTATGCCACTATGCCCAGCTCGAAGTAACCTCATGGACTCTGCTGGCAGTCGTTAGTAAGCACCGGCGTTTCCACCATGTGGCGATACTATGATATGTAGTTACGATGCAAGAGCTGCGATAATCATTTAGTTCATTTTGCAAAGTATTGTCATGCCATAATTGTCATTTGCTCGTGTTATTGTCTTTCATATTTTATTTCTTGACAAAATATTTTTGGAAATCTGAAAGCTCAATGTATAAAGTTGTCAAATAAGTAGTTTTTTACCCTTTGCGATATTGCTTTGGAAAATGTTTTCTTGGAGTAATTGATTGCGCGATAGTTATATAGCCTCATTGTTTTCGTAGCGCATCCAAACATATATTTGTTTCATGTAACTAACGGGAAGTTTATTTTGCGTGTTATTGATTGTAAAGTTATGCTGATGAGAAGGTTCATGGCAGGCTCATGTGTATGTTGATTGAACTGCACCTGAAGAAATGTTCAATACTTGTGAGTATTGGACGTACAGCGAAACACAACAACGATGCAATAATCATGGAAGATACGATCGCAACGTGATGGGCAGCTGACATTTGCGATGTTCGTCACATTGCTAAAATGTATTTCGTACATATGGTATCTCAAAAAATTATATCGGGTGATCATAGTAAGCACGTCGTGCTCCTGTCGCACAAACGTGATTATGATATTTATTCTTTGGGTCTTTCGGTAAAGTCACGTCGAAAATCAAATCAAATAATAGAATACGACGTTTCGTTTGCAACACAAGCAACCATCATCAGGTAAGAATGAATGATAAAACAGAGACACGGAAACAACATAGGCAGACACACATGCAGAGAGAGACACGCACAAAGACACATCGAGCGAGACACACACCAAGACAAACAGGTTTCCGTGTCTGTGTTTTCTTGGTGTGTGTCTCGCTCGGTGTGTCTTTGTGTGTGTCTCTCTCTGCATGTGTGTCTGCCTATGCTGTTCCCGTGTCTGTCTTTTATCATTCATTCTTACCTGATGATAGTTGCTTGTGGTTGCAACCGAAACGTCGTATTCTATTATTTAATTTAGTTTCTTTCTCCGTGACTTTACCGAAAGAACCAAAGAGTAATTCCTGAAGTCACGAAAGCTTCGAATCTAGCGTGGTATTTATGTTTATTAACGTGATAGTGATACATATATTCATTTACGTCAAAATTACCAAAAACAATTGGCATTGCTCAATATGTCAAGGCAAGTGTTTCTGAAGTGGATGAGAAATAGGCTAAATCATTTATCAAATTGTGTTCATCTTCACTGCGTACACAAACTTCACAGCAATCAGTCAGAGACAGACGGATCGCTCTGCATAACTCTTGATAAGTGAATCAAACGCTTGGTCAATTGAGGTCTTCGTTTGATTAAATCACACCAAGCAGTTTAAATGGGTTCACCACAGTTCGTCGATTGGCTGGTCACGTGTGGCGGTGTGAAATGTGGGCATTCCCACATCTTCCAAGACATCTGGTCAGAATGGCAGAGCAGCCGAAATGCCCTCTATAGAGTCTCCCTAGAGCTCCCTCTAGTAGAGGCTTTTCTGCCAGGAGTGGCACAAGCATGCTATTGCAGGGCTGTACCGTTACCTTTCCCAGGAGTGGGACGATTCCTTACACTGTTAGTTTTCAGGCCTCATCTTCCCAGCGCTAACCAACCTCTCTCTTGTGCAACCCCCTCCCACCCCTCTCTCTTATCATCCCCACGTGACCCCTCCCCCTCCTCTTCCTGCCCGTGCAGGTGGACCTTCAACCCAGCGGTGCTGACCAAGGCCAACTATGTGCGCGGGCCGGAGGGCGCGAGCCACGGAGCCGAGGGCGGCTCCTCGGCCTCGCAGTTCACGGTGGGCGACGTGGTGCAGATCTGCGGGGACCTGGAGCGCGTGAAGCTGCTGCAGCGCGGACACGGGGAGTGGGCGGAGGCCATGCTGCCGGTAAAGGGCCGCGCGAGGGAGGATGCCGTTACGGCCGCTCCGGCTTGTTTGTCGCACTCGCGGGGACCCGAGTCACGCCGCCGCTGGCGTCGCACGCGACGGGCGAGTTTGGACGCCGTGTGGGTGACGCGGTGGCGCCTCGTTTGCATTGCGTCCGACGTGCAGTCGTGTTGGTGGAGGGGGAACGGTGGCGCGGGGGGGGTTATCCTCGCACTGCGCTAATGAGCCCGCGCACCCCGGTTTGATTCCCGGCCGTGGCTATCGTGGCTGGCCAGTCACGATTCTGTACCGGTTCTGTCGTCTTGGGAGTACCCAGAGGAAACCGGTGGATATGCGGCGATGACACTCGTAGATCTGCACAGGCGTGTTCACGAACCCGTTTGTTGTACTGCCACCTCTTCCGGATACGGTGGAGCCCAGCGTATATGGATAGATGATGGATGAGGCTGCTCAGTGTTGCTAACTCAGCGATTTCATCGCTGGACCAATTACTGTTTGGGTTTCCTTATTGGCAGCGTTTTGTCAAAGCGACGAATTTAGTGAGTTTCTTGGAACGAGGATATTATGCGGATTTGGAGTTATTCCAGGAATGTATAATACAAATAATTTTAACAATTCAATTTGTCACGCGCACAAATTTCACGACAAATCCTTCGATCGTGAACAGTATTCTGTTTTTCACTTTACCTGCGTGTGCAACTCGGTATATTGTCCGGTGACGTTTTTGACCACTTCAGAAGGTCTGTCTTTTGAGGTTCGTTTGGCGACATTCTGCTCGCGCTGCCCGTCATCGCAGCGGGCGGGCGGGAAGCCCGCATGTCGAGTAAGCAGAAGTCGCCGTGGTACCTTGCTCGCCTCCGGCTGCGGAGTGAGCTGCTCCGCTGAGCGAGGTCCCAGGGGTGGCGCGGTTTAGAGGGGAGCGGTTTCCCGCGGGTAAAGATGAGCCTGCGGTAATGCTGACGCTATGTAATTACTTAATTCGAATTGTTCTACAGATCGCGTTTCTGCACGTAATCTCACACGCGCACGAGCGCACACACAAAGGCAAAGATTCACCTTGTAGCCTTTAACGGACTGTTGGGACAAGTGCTCTTAGCGAACACCTTTGAAGGCCGGCACGGTGTGTGTGGCCAAAAGTGCATGCTGCTGCCTTTGTCTCCCCAGTGCTGGTGGTTACCTGCCGAACCGGTGCTCTTTTAAGACTTTGCCGACCTAGGGAGGCCTGAACCGGTTTAATCTCTCCCCGAACGTGTGCAGGCACACACACGCTCACACGCGCGCGCATGTGTGAGCGCGTGTGGTGATGGGTAGTTTAGTAGGTAATGCGCTGAGCTATGAACTCTTGATCTTCCTGGCCACGACGAACATTGGTGGGTGAGTGATATCTGAATCGGTGCAGCACCTCCTCTAGGTTTACTCGGCCTTAAAATACCTACTTAATGCATTGTGTAAAATCAACACTGGGGAGACTTAAGGTGGCCGTGCCTGGTGATTGCCACGCCGTACCAGTTTTCAAAGCTGCCCACTAACAGCACTTATCCCAACAACGTGTGTAGGCTACATGGGTGATTTTTATCTTCGTGGTTTTGTTTGTGTGTAGACCCTCGGCAAGGTTGGGCGCGTGCAGCAGATTTACCATGACAACGACCTGAAGGTGGAGGTTTGTGGCACGTCCTGGACCTACAACCCGGCTGCGGTCACCAAGGTGTCCTCCGAGCTGCCTGGCACCAGCAACCCGTCTGGAGGTACGTGCCCGGCATGACCACTTACATCAGATCAAATCACCCCAATGCCCCAATAGTGATACTGGCTCCCATTTTCATCCTGGATCAATTTACAGATTGCACTCACCTTCTTCAAGATCCTGAATGGACTTACAACTGCCTGCCTCTCCCCTCTCATCTCACTCTACTCCCCTCCACGCACTCTCCTACCTCTCCCCTCTCATCTCACTCTACTCCCCTCCACGCACTCTCCTACCTCTCCCCTCTCATCCCACTCTACTCCCCTCCACGCACTCTCCTACCTCTCCCCTCTCATCTCACTCTACTCCCCTCCACGCACTCTCCTACCTCTCCCCTCTCATCTCACTCTACTCCCCTTCACACACTCTCCTACCTCTCCCCTCTCATCTCACTCTACTCCCCTCCACGCACTCTCCTACCTGTCCTCTCTCATCCTACTCTACTCTCCTTCACGCACTCTCCTACCTCTCCCCTCTCAACCCACTCTACTCCCCTCCAAGCAGTATCTTCCCCCTCCCCTCTCATTTCACTCTACTCCCCTCCACATACTCTGTTCCAGTAAAGCTGGCTTCAGGCAACCCCAATAAGGGCTTTAATGTCACTTTAATGTGTTTTTTTGTCATTATTTAAGCCCAACACTTGTGGAGAGCCAAGGACTCTCGGCCCAAGTACTAGAGCTGTAACGATGCGTGGATTCAGTCGTGGTGAACTACCTGTGAGAATGTATTATTTACAATATATGCAGATTGTATGCAAATAGAAGTTACGTTTCCACGTTGGACGCTAGTCGCGAGCACCGGCCGGCATCCCTTCTGGCGACGGCTCCTTTCTTGATGGTCCCCGTGGTGTTCTTAACTCGTGCGCGTTTTCCGATCCACGTGTTCCTCTTTCTCTCTCCCGGTGCACATGCCATCCACCCGCCTTTTTACACTTCTTTTCGTCCTCTTTCAGCTTTTTGTCAATGATTGTGTTTTTCGAGTAACACGTCGTCACAGCATGATGAAATATGCACTAATTGACAAATGTATTATTTGGGCACATGGCCAGGGACACTTTAATAACCCACTCTGTCTAATTATAATACAGAATCAACGAACTGGCTAGCCAGTCCATTAAAGGGGCCTCCTGAGGTTGCCTCGTGGCTGAGGGCTGAGCTGTCACCGTTGGGTCCCATGCATGAATTACATAAACGAACAGAAAACAATCGGTCCTTACGCAAACAATTCAGTAAATTAATCGGAATCAGAATATTTATTTGTACTGGAGGAATCCGATGAGCTGTAAAGTTATTTTTCACACATGTCCAGTGGGGGCAGGTCAAAACAATACAACAAACAATCCACAAAAACGATGGAGTGCAAAGTCTAGGAGAGGTAAACCAATCGCTGAAAAACATACAAATTAAACTTCGCTAATGAAAGTATCGAGGGCATCAGATTAGATTATTGTCGACGAACCGATGCTGCATTAGATGCCTAGCAACCTCGAATCATGGAACTTCATTTCACGCTCACTGGGTTTGGGGGTGAATCGCTGTTGTGTCTGCTGCTCGTGATTGTACCCACACGACGGGAGCCACAAGCGCGTTTCGTTTACTTTGGGCCGGTGAAATACGCCTCGTGCGTGTCGACGGTTGTCACCAGACGCGACAGCCGGCTTAACCTCCACGCAAAGGCCGGCGCGTTTCGCACGCTGCAACGCAATGCGCGCCTATCGCTGGCGTTGGCCGACACGTCGCGGGCACGGAGAATTAAACGCCACTTTTAATTAGCAAAGAAGGAACGGCGTGGCCGGGACGGTGGATTTCATGACGATTGAAAGGTGGACCATCAATCATCGAATTGGGCTGCTCAGGCGTGGTTGGTTGCTCCAGAAAACGCTGGCCGATTCCTCCAGGTAATCAAAGTGGAGTTTAATTCATCTTGCAGACACTGGGGGGGGGGGGGGGGGGGGGGGGGGGGGGGGGGGGGGGGGCAGTTTTTACTCGCAAGGGCACGCGTGCCATTAGACGGGCCACCTGGCATCGGTGAGCACTCTAATGCAGTGCTTTTGCTTTTAGTAAAAATGTTTGGACGTTGCCGACAAAGGCTCCCTCGCCCCTTCGTTGCTGCCGGTGACAGGTAATTTAGTTCCTGCGTTCCGATGGTGATGCGAGCAGTTGCGCCGTTTGGTATCATTTTTCTTCGAGCGGGGGGGGGGGTCATTTGTCAACGAGCAAATACGCTTTAGTGGATCTTGTTTTCACTTAATACATTTTGCACAACTGCTTGCTACACACGCAGTGTGCTCATAAATTAGCCGGTTAATGAATCGGGCTGTAAATTGGTAATTAAATAATTAAACGTGTTGTGAATGATTGTTGAAGCCATTTGCAGGGACGCATTTTCCTTTGAAGGTGTGACGTGTACAACCGGCCAAGAGACTCTTGTGGCATGTGTGCGTGTGCACGCGTGTGCATGTATATGTGCGTGCATGAATGTGCACGCGTGTGGGGAGGGAGCGGTGGTGTAGCGGCTAGCACATGCTGCACTACGAATCCGGTGACCCGAGTTCGATTCCCGCTCACGACCAACACCAGTGGCGGTTATCTGAATCGGTCCTGGGCCTCGCCTAGGTCGACTCAGCCTCAAATGAGTACTTGGTGTGGTATATAAACAACAGTATTCAGGAGACAAAGGTGGTCAAGTGGCCGAGCGTCGTACTTGCCACCCGTCCCCTCACGTGCCATGCTGGCCTTCATTGGCAATCGATAATAGCCCTTGCCCCAGCTGTCCGTTAAAAGCTATATGGGGATCTTTGTCTGTGTGTACACGTACATTGCAGAGCGTCTGTCGCAGCTGCTCAAGAAACTGTTTGAGACGCACGTGTCTGGAGACGTCAACGAGGAGCTGGTCAAGGCTTCGGCCAACGGCGACGTGGCCAAGGTGGAGGAGATCCTGTCCCGACCCGACGCTGATGTAAGGCGCATATCGCACCCGGGACTTTCTCACTCTCTCTCTCTCTGTGGGTCAGTGTGGGCAAGGGGTGTCGTGTCCACCCCCCCCCCCCCCCCCCCCGGGTAGGCTCTTGTAAGCGAGGTTGCCGCCGCATTGTTCAAAACCAGCGGAGACCTGTGTCCTGATGGCATGACGGGACACGTGTGATACGAGGTGACGGATAGCAGCATACGCGGTCAGAATCCTACGGCAATTGAGTGGTGTTCAGGTGCAGCCCTTTGTCAGTCCACTGCTGGATGTGGGCCTCCCCGCGTCGCGTGGGTTGTGGGGGTTATTGGACCATACTTCACCGCGTAAGTCAGCGCAGGATGGGTGGAGGCGGACAGCATTGACGTGGGAGCATAGCACGGGAGGCCCGGTCCACAAGCCGCCCGCCCTTTGATGTGCCGTCGCAAACACGTCGAGCGAGCAAGGTGTGCACTCGTCAGCTTTCTGCGTTCACATTTTAGTATTCACGTAATTAACACACAGGGCATTGAGGGTAAGCGCAAAGGCAAGGATGTTCAAAGCTGCTGATTTTTTCTTCCCGCCTCCGCCCCACCACCTCTGCGTCTCCTCAACGTCGTCCCCGGAAAACACCTCATTTTTGCTTGGATGTGCAATAGCTGTAAAATGGCATTCGCATTCATTATGAAGGGAGGCGCGCTTGCGCTTACCCACGTAGGGACGCGACCGCGCGTGTACCCGCGGTCGCTGTTCGATAACCACGCTGATCGGGAGGATACGTGCATAGCGCTGAGAGCGCGATTTTCTGAGCGGCTGTCCTCCGCTGGCATTTTAGATCTGACGACGGCTCCCGTAGGAATTTTTCTTATTTATATCAAAGTGCCGACTTTGTCCGAAGCGATCGGCGAGACCGACGTGTTGACTCTTCTGAGAGAAATACGTTCGCTGTCAATCGGCTGCCGTGGGATTTTTGTTTTGATACGGCTGAGCGCAGCCCACAAAGGCCAAAAATGTCTCGCGGGCAGCACTAAACAGCAGTATTGAATGTGTAATAAACAATAGTTACTACGTTTCATGAATTGAGCGAGGTTATTATATGAGCTTGGGGAAAAGAGACTTTGGGAGGGAATTCCAAAGTTAAGCAGCGCTAGGGAAGAAGCAGAATGAGAAGTGAGGTGACCTACAGTGTGGTGAGTGGGTTGGTGGGGTGAGCGTGGCTTGGCTTGGTGAAAGCTTGAGAGAAGTGCTCAATACCTGGCCTCATTCAGAAACACCCCGCCACAATTGTAATTGATCGCAAATCCGACATATGGAATACGAAAAATGCACCGGCTTTCAAACACATTTTACCTTCCGAAAACAAGGGTGAGAATGTAGAATGCGTCTATTTTTTACTGTCATTTTAAGTTATTGGTTTACTTGCTAACGTGTTTGTGGTCACTCGAGCACTCGGTTACAGATCTTTGACTAGTGAGGAGCGGATAATGACTCAACCGGCACACTTGAAACTGCTTTATTTTTTTTCAAGCACGATTAATCCACAATTGGATAATCTCCCACGGATTACCGAGCGTTGACTGCATTTCGATAGCGGCTTAGAGCTCCACATTTTCCCTTTGCCATCGGGTTCTTCGTGGGCACAAAGCGGGAGTCGATAAAGTGCAATCAATTTTTAGTCCTTTGTTCATCCACTGCTGGATGGAGGTCTCCTGATGCCGTGTCAGCCTTTGGGGGGGGGGGGGTGGGGTGTGGGGCGATTCAACCGTACTTCACCACGACGCTGGTCAGTGCGGATTTATGAAAAGCGGCACCCCAGGACCTCAGAGCCCCCATGCTCATTTTCCCATGGAGACACAGTTTGATTTTATTGTTCCTATTTTATACATCGCATATATAATTTACTGAAAACGATTTATTCATGGTTCACTGGCAAGTCCTGTGGCCAAAATTGCCACCATTGCTGAAATAACCAGCAGAGGGCACACAGACCCCTCATTCCTTGAGGGTTTCTGCACTCAACAGCAGAAATTGGCTTCTACAAAAAAATTAAGTGTGATTACTATTATCTGTATTGTGTTTTGGGTCGGGCCACGTGGTAGTTTTACGCCTACATTCTTCCAGCCTCGCTCCATTCCCGCGTCAATTTCCTGATGACGCTAAACACACCATCGCAAAAAGTCTTCAAACGCCGGTGAGGAGGAACTCTTATCGGTCAGAGTTTGATCGATACATTGACACATAAATAATATCTTTGGAAACGTGACAGTCTTGTCTGGTCGTGGACAGTGGCCTGCGCAATAGACTTCCAGTTGGGGGTGACGAATGCTGTGCATAATCTTAAGTGAGTAATTTGCGGTGTAAATTTAGAATTTAACAAATTTGGACTTTGACGCCACGACACATCGGCCTACTCTCTTCAATGACATCATGGGATTTATAACGTTTACCGTGAAGCAGACGGAGCGTGTATTGTTACAGTTATTGCACCGTGCAATATTATTCTGTGCGTCTGTTGATTTTCGAACCGTGAGCCTCTGCAACGAGCAGCTAAGAACCCGGTGACCAGCGATTGATTCCTGGCCACGGCTACAATCAGTTCTTTCTGATATTCGAACCTGTCCCAGGTAAATTCAGCCTTAAACGAGTAGCTGGTAGAATGTGTCAACATCAGCGTTGTGGAGACAGGTGGCTGGACGTGGTGCTGTCCACACGTGGGGCGTGCTGTTCTTAGTAGGTGCTTACTAACAATGCCCAAGATTCTAAGAGGCTGCAGGGGGAATCTGTGGGTTGTGAACGTGGAAGGGTTATCAGTAGGCATGGAACTATGCATTCGCTCATCATGGTTGGCTACGTACAGTGCAAAATAAATTGTTATTTAAAGCTTTCGTGACTGCAGGGATTCATATTCTTGGTTCTTTCGGTAAAGTCACGTAGAAGGGAAACAATAAAATAATAAAAATCTAAAACAATAAAACAATAAAATAATAAAAATATAAAACAATCAAATTCTCACGACGTTTCCACTGCAACACAAGCAATCATCATCAGGTGTGAAAACCACAGCAAGAAAATTTTAAAAAAGTGGCGGGTTTTTTTAACGTTAGCACCACGGAGAGCGATTTGGCAGTTATTCAGATGGACGAGTCCATCTATGTTCGAAAAAGAGGAGGGGGGAGACGAAAATAATGGATGCGGTCTGAAAGCCACCGTAAGCGTGAACAATCAATTAAGACCCGAAATGGTTTATCAAATCCTTCCAATGATTGCTCAGCCAGAATCCATCTTCTCGGCGAAAGAAGTTCAATGTACGTACATACATTTGTTCGTGATGCGCGCATAGGTCCAATTTGTGGAAATTATTCTCCAACGATTCACGCACGTTGCACAATGGAGCAAGCAAAATTTATCAACGAGGCGGCACGCGACACCAAAAAAATAACCGATTCTTGCATCTGATCGCAGCCATGAATCGTGGTGATGAATCGAATCGCTTGTGGGGTTGGTGGGGGGGTGTGTGAATGATGGCATGCCTGGCTCTCACGCTTGCTTGCGGAGGTTAGGGGCGGGGCACTGGCTGGCAGGGCTGCGTGGCGACAGGGGTGGTGCGGGCGGGGGTGGGTGGGCGGTGGATGGGTGGTGGCAGCGGCACCGCACGGGGGCCGCGTGTCCTCATGGCCATGCCGATGATTTCCCAGGGGCCCGCGGGGGACTCTGTATTTAACACACTGTCACGGCGCTGCGGGGACGGAGAAATGGAGGAGGATGAGGAGGAGGGGCGGCGAGAGACGAGGAGGGAATATATCCATTTATATATTGCACACAAAAACCACACGGAAAGCAAAAGGAAAGTGAAAAAACTTTACAAGCTTCAGCTTTCCCTACACCTTTCAGAAAAGCCATTTGTTTTGACGGTTAAATGAATAAGGACAGCAAATCCTCAACGCCCAACTCGCGGGCCACAGCCGGCAGATTAGGTCATTGCAAGGTGGCCTTGCGCTTGTGTTTTTTTTCTCCCATTTTTATTTTCCCCCCTCTACCCCCCCTCCCCCTCCTTCGTGTTCCGCGTCTCGTGGGCCGTGGGCAAAGATTGACGTCCGCGCCCCTCGGCAGCTTTGTGCTGAAAAGAAACGCTCTTCGCAGACCCAGCGCACCCCCCCACCCCCCGGTCGATCGTCTGCAAATTCGCAAATTCTCATCTTTACTTAAACTTATCAAGGGGTGGGAAAGCTCCCACCCCGCAACCCGTCCCCTCCACCCACCCCCAACTTCATTGAATATGACCCGCAGCTACACATGACCGAGTCCTTCGAAAACAGCCGGCAAACGATATTCATCCGTCAATGCGAGCGTCTTAGCCGTGCTAATCGGATGCAGGAGGGGGATAGTTTTTACCTGGTAGCCACTCGGCGTTTCAAATTTCAGCGGGCCCATTCACTTCTGTCACCGCAGGGAGGGACTATTGCAGTGATAGCAAAGACCGAGATGTCTTAAATACATGGATATATTCGGCCCTGGGTGAGAAAAAAGGTTTCCCTACCAATACTCTTAAATCGCATACGGAGCGGAGCTCCTGTCTGCTCAAGAAAAAGTAGGGCAGCCCTCTGTTGCAGGCCAGGTGCTGGTGCTGCCAGCCCAGCGAGAGAACCAACAACCACTGTTAATCTCCAATTAAGTGGATGATGATGATGTTGTTCAGCCGAGTCAACGCCTTACCGGCATTGTAACTATCAACTCGGGTTGTTTCGTTCTAACGATGAATCGATTCGTTACCATCCGTTCTTGAGCTCGCGATACACGCTTTGCGTGTATAGGAATAAACGGTTCTTATTCGTTGTTTATTAACGGGTGCCCATGACCCCCTCCAGCCACTTGAGGCGGCCGCTTTCACAGCAGCGCAAAATAATAGAATCGACTCTTGCATACGCCCATCACATCCCTAGGCCCGTGACAAGTCGTCAAATCACAAGCGGTCAGGGTGGGTGGAACTTGGCCTCCCAGCTGGCATCCGCTCCGATTGCGAGTCGAGTGCCCCGAGCTCGTCCCCCTGTGTCTAACGCCGCGTTTCATCGAACCGCGGAACAACTCGACGTGCGTGGCACTACGCGCCCACCCCCACGGCGCCCCGGGTTTCTTGTGTTGAGACAATTTGAGCCGGCTGCCAATTTGGGCACGAGCCCGAATCCTCCTGGAAGATGATGCCTCTCGGGCTGGCCAGGTTTCCAGCGTCAGAATTCAGGCCGAGTAGAAAATATGTCGACGTGCATGTCGGTCAAAACATTTTCATTGGGAGGCGGTGGAACTGTTTAATTTTCACAGTCAGGGTCGTGACCTGGGCCGACTGACAGTGGCATCTTAATTTCCCGAGTAACTCAGGAAATTAAGATGCCACCTTTTTTTTTTTAAACCAACACGACTTATCCATCATGAAGCCAAGTTGTGGGACAAGTCCTGCCGACTCGACGCAGCTCCGGGGGGCCCGGCTATCCGTCCGTGGAGAGGGTTCGGAGTGTGAGCGACGCGGGAGACGGGATCCGCAGCCGTAGCGGGTAACGCGCGCACGGTGAGCGCGGTGAGTGCGGTTGCCCGCAATCGATTGCGTTGAAACAACGCGAGCGGAGGGGGCCTCCACAGTGTTCCGCGGGGGTTAAAGGAAATAAATAAACAGATCACAGGAGGGGAGGGGGCAAGGCTTATGTTGCCAGCGCAGGTGCCAATACGCTGATCTCGTTTGATGAATGAGCGCCGCCGGTACGTAACGTGTCATTGGAAAGGTTACTTGCTTGGGGCACGGGTGGGGGGGGGGGTTCCGAGGGTGTTTGGACCGTGTTGCTAAATTGCTGCATGGCACGCAGTGGAGCGAAGCTACGGAGGAGAAAGGGTAGTTTGTGCGCTGCTCCGTTGAGTCCCCGTACCAGAACAGATGGAACTTGGCCGCCTCCCAGCTGAAACTGCCGTGTGGCAAGGGTGAGGGCACGTGTGTCACCGCCCCCAACAAAAAGGTGATCTGAAAGGGAAATTTTTTTGACTTATTATTTTGGGCCAAGCAGCCTTTATTTATCGATATTGTATATAAACCCCCCCCCCCCCCCCCCTCCCCCCCCCCCCCCCCCCCCCCCAACAAAAAAACACTCCTCCCAAATATTTTTTGAATGTGTATCACTCCGCCGCCTGGGTTTTTCGCAAAATATATTTAATTGCAATTTGTATTCCTGGTGTTCACACGTACACCCTGACGAAGCGATTAGAAACGGCGCAATATAAAATATGTCCATGGCGACAGAGTCTTGAAAGCGTTCCAGCGGGGCTGAGGTCAGAGCTGAAAATTCCATACGCGGACGTGAAATACTGCGCGACTCGGCACGCGACAGATTTGCCTCTTGGCCACCGTAAACATCTGATAGTGGCGACAGTAACTTGCGAGCCTCTCAAACTTGTGCAGATTTTGCAGAATTTCTTTTTTGCATTTTTTCTTTTTACTACTTCCCTCCGCCTCCCCCAAGTCAGCCATGTTTATTTACTTATTTATAGCACGTTTCACCTGGAGGGTTTATATATATAAAAAAAAAATCAATAGATGCATCGTCCATCTTTCTTGCAGGTGACTGACCAGGCGGGCGGTTTTGGGGCTCCGCGGGTTGTGTTCTGACTGCCGGCGCGTCGCCGTGTTGCGTTGTCCCCCTTTTGCGTCTCGCAGCAGGCCAACGGGCAGTTTGCGGGGCACACGGCACTGCAGGCAGCCAGCCAGAATGGGCACGTGGACATCATCAAGGCTCTGCTCAAGTACAACGTGGACCTGGAGGCCGAGGTGAGATCCGTGGGAACGTCGTGCCGCCCCTGCCTCCACCGCACCTCGTCCTGCTTCGCCGCACCTCGTCCTGCTTCACCGCACCTCGTCCTGCTTCACCGCACCTCGTCCTGCTTCACCGCACCTCGTCCTGCTTCACCGCACCTCGTCCTGCTTCACCGCACCTCGCTGAGAGCTAGAGGAGATCGGTGTTGGACAGAAGGAGACCCGGGGCGCGTTCCCTCCGTTTGCCGGCACTCCGTCGTTAGTCTCGATCGCCGGCCATGCTGATGATGCTCGTAGGCTACCGGGAAGACAAAGCTTTCGTGACTACAAGGATTCATCTTCTTTGGTTCTTTCGGTAAAGTCACGTAGAAAGAACCAAAAAGTAATCGGTTATCCGAATCGAATCTCAACTTCGACTATAAATCCTGACAATGAATCTAATCGTTACGGGGGGGTTGGGGGGGATACCGTAACGGACACCGACATCAAATCGCCGTCCCCTCCATCGCCGACCGAGACTCGCGCCGGCGGCTGGGGCGTGCGATAATCCCGTCGAGCGAAGCAATATACCGTCCCCCGCATTCCTCCTTCCCCCCCTCCTCTCCGATTTTGTGTTCATTAATCAGTCCGTTTATCGGAGGCTGCGTGAGAGTCCCATTGATATTGCTGCAATATCTCTATTGCAAGGGAGCCCTGTTTGCGAGGAAATGCACGGACGGAACAATATGAAAGGACACCTGGCAGGCTTGCAGCAGCGCTGCCTTTGGGGCTCTACGTGGTCTTGCGGCAATTATTTTTTTACGGTAGATCTGATGGGAAAGCCACTAGCCCTGCGACATTGTGTCAATTCCTGGATCAAAACTCGATTCGCATTGCCCCGTTTTCCCGTTTGCTTCATTGATGTTCTTAGTAACGTAATTTATTTTGCCGTGTTGGTGACCCAGGTCATTTTCTTGCAATGAGACATTCGTTGTCCCTTGACTTCTCACCTCGGTAAACAGAATTTAATTGAAATTATGCACCACGTGGCATCGCGAGCGTGAGAATCTTATTATTTACGATGCATTCAAAATATAAGCGTGCAACGGACGCTATTTGGGTGTAATGGTGAGCAGTATCAATGGGTACATCACAGTTAGTTGAACAGCAGGTCGTGTTTAGTGGGTTTAAAGTATGGGTGATCTTACCTTATTTTGATAACGTTTGGTCAGCGTGGAAGAGTAGACCAAAGTCCCCTCCTGATGGGAGCTCCAGAGCTCCTACGTGAGCAAACGATTGCTGAGCTGAACTTTTATACGCAAAGAGTACGTGTAGGGTAACTGAGCGAGGGAAAAAAACCGCGCAAACAAAACACAGACCGAAAATCCAGAACATTACAAACAAACCAGATGATTCACGATGAGATGTGAAATGATATATTTGACCGCAAATTCTTGACGAGTCATCGAATCGCCTGGTAGACTGATCGCCGCTTACCCAGCGGGGGCCGCAACGTTCTGCACTTAGTCCTTGGTCGCCCGCTCCACTCCTCGCTTCATTCCCTCTGCAATCGCCGTTCGGTCGGCTGCACGCGCATCCGTCCAACGAAAGCGGTCGCCAAATCCGGAGCTGGCGGCTGCATTGCAGCTGCCTGGTGTCCACGCACTTATGCACACGATTAGCCAGCGCGAATTAATCGCACTTCCTGTCGCCTTCGATTAGCTCGGCGGCAGTAATTCATTTGCCGAGGTCGCACCGAGGAGGAACCTGAAATGAGTTGAAGGTAACGGGAACCTTCAGCCGCTGAAACCCCGCTTGCTTACGATGGTGCCCGGCCCCGTCGGTTCTCACCACCGGCCCTCACCGAAGGGCCCTCACCGCCGTCGCTGTGGGGCTGTGTGAGCGCCGTACACCGCGCGTCGCTAAGGAACGGTGTCAAATGATTTCGCCTACACGCCAGCGATTCTTACGTGAAGTGCCATGGGCCGTTAAACTCCTTCCCCGTGGACATGGCACGGCTGTGAGTGGAATGCTCGTGCAGTTTAGATTCCTTTTTTTTTTTCCATAAAATATTTTGTAGTTTGCTTTTGCTCACGCCTGCTCTGTCGCTTGCTTAACGTCGTTGGGTGACAACTGATGCCATGTTGGCGGTGGGGTTCTCCAGGCTCCCGGAGAGCATCTGAGGCCAGAGGCGGTCATTGCTGGACAGGGAGTAATGATAAAACACACGCACGAGCAGAGCATTAGAGAAGGATGGATGGAAAGTTGGACAGACAAACAGGCAAACAGTCAGGCTGACAGTTTGGCAGGTTGACAGATGCATAGACAGGAAAAACAGACAAACAGGCTGAAAGACAGGTTGACAGAAAGACAGATACAATGATTGAAAGACAGGAAATAGTCAGACAGATAGAATATAAAACGAGAGCGCTGGAAGGATCTTCCTCAGTGCTTGTGACAATACACGCTCCTCGTGTATCTAACATTGTGTCTGATGAGCTCAAGGAGTATAACATTTGCGAGTTGACGTTTCGTTACAATTTCACCTGTCACCTACACAATGATGATATTGTGTTGCATTGTGCCTCATGCGTGTAATATTTAAAGAGTCTGACAATAATGTTCTTGTTTTTAGAATAACAATGTTTGTCAATCCACTGCCCTTTTGTCGTGTCAGCCATGGGGGTTATTTCCACCATACTTCACCACGCTGGTCAGCACGGGTTGACAAAGTGGAGAGGATATCCAGGACTGGTTGAGATGTCTTTTAACACTAAAGTTAGCTCGTGTCACGGGCTTCCGAGCACCGTGTGCCAACCACTGCACCACGGCTCCCACTTAGCAGCTTAGTAGTCTGTGTAATTAAAGTCATTAAAGAGTTGTAATTGGGATTTTGTGTAATGTAGCAGCGTGGTTCGTTTTTGCAGATCTCCGTGGTTCATGAGCACACGACAGACACTGCCGTCTGCTGACTTGATAACAGCGCGTATCATTCATATGGAACTCTATTAAAGCGCTGTCGGTTCGATGTTAGCATTACACCACAAGTTCTCATAATAATGACTCTAGGCAGCTGGACTCTACATTACCCTGATGTGTGTTTTCGTCATTATTAAGCGCGAGGGAGCCATCGCCCGCCTCGGAGCGCGTTAAATTCTGAATGGCGCTGTCGGAGCACCGTATCTCCCCTCCCCTACCCTGCCACCATTCCCCGCCCCCCATCTCCTTCACGGGAGAAAATCGCTGATGGAGAAGAAGAAGAGAGGGGGACGAGGCGCTAAATTTGCCCTTGCGAAGGCGTCAGAAGCCCGGGACGCCGGTCGCCCGCTAACCCTGCTGCGCGACGCGGCTCGGGGAGGACGGGTCCCCGTGACACCACTTTGGCCATTATGCTAATGATCTGCTATTATAGCCGTATTAAGGCACGCGGCCTCTCGACTTCAGCAAATTATGCCGGGAATTACGGGGAAGGCCCGGGCCGCCCGGTCCGGCCGCCCGCCGCGGCGCCCTGATTAACGTGAGTGATGGGATTACCCGCACGGACGGGAGCGGAGTTTGGCTAACGAACAATGAAGGTTACGCATTTCGGGGGGAAGCTGATTTCTCATGGGGCGCGCCGTGATGTACGACTCGGAGCTGGCCCCACCGCCGCACGTGCGTGAGCGCGCGCTTGCTTGCCTGTGGGCCGTTTTTAATTAACGTTGGCGGCCGTTAAAAATGAAATCCAACCTCCTCCTCGTTCAGAGTCGTTCGGATTCTGTCAGTAACCGCGCCGGGGCGAGTGTTTTTTTAAGGCGGCTGCTTACTGCCGTGCCTGGGAATCGTCGTGTGTGTGCGTCCGTCCGTCTGTCCTCTTCAGTAAGTCCATCTGAGGAAACTTCCTACGTCTTCATTGAATTGCCACGCGGCTTGGCACACGCGGCTTAGCAATTCAAGTGCCCCCAGATCGAATTCGTTTTTGGGTGAGAATGCTAACGTAATAATAATTCTCAAGTGTGTTGATAATTATTATTACAGTAGAACAAAAATAAAGCATGGCGCACGGACAGCAAGAAGAACCAACAAAGGCAACCGCGAGAGATTAAAAAGTTCCGCCGGGTATTTTGACAACCAGCTTTGCGTTATGGCGGAAAACCTCCGAAAAAGCACGGTTGGCTACGTATGGTGAAAAAGAAGTTCAACATGCATACATACATACGTGTTCCACAACCAAAGGTCAAAAGATCATCACGGCTGATGTCGTTGATGGCATCAGTGACTCAAGTCCACCTAATGGAGTTATTATTATGATCATTCGCCAGGCAGCGTAAACCCGTCATCATGTTTCAGAATGACCCATGGGAAGTGGATATCACAGAGCTACATCTTAAGATCCCAACTTCCTTGTCACACTTAGTAATATTTGTCACGTGAACAGTCAAACCAACATGTTACATTTTCAGAGCAGACATTTTTGGCAAATTAAGTCCTGAACCAAATTTTATTTGATGGCTTTTTCACGTGCGATCATTATTTGATGGCTTTTTCCACACTTCAGAACTCTGTTTAATCGCGCGCTTATAAAACCCTGGACTTGAACCCAAGTTCTCAGCAGTGCCAGCGGCTCAGGCCTCTTTGAGATGGCGGAGTTATTATTTATTTTTGGTTAACGCCACCGGCGCTTCACGTGCGCGCCGCCGTTTACGTGACCTGACCGCGGATTGGCACCTCTCTCGTTCGCGGCTCCCCTTCCTGGCGCGGGCAGGATAAGGACGGGGACCGCGCCGTCCACCACGCGGCCTTCGGGGACGAGGGCGCCGTCATGGAGGCGCTGCAGCGCGGCGGCGCCGACCTCAACGCTCGCAACAAGCGGCGCCAGACACCGCTGCACATCGCCGTCAACAAGGGCCACCTGCAGGTGGTGAAGACACTGCTCGACCTCGACAGCCACCCCAGCCTGCAGGTGAGGCCCTGCTGCTCACCCCCCATATTCTTTACGGTGGCGAATATGTTGACTGCCTCGCCTGGTGTGCAGGAGTTCATGGGTTCGATCCAGACCCTGACGCCTGCTGTACATTTGGAGTTTGTGCATCTCTCCCTCTCCCCGTGTTCCCGTGGATTTTTCTCCAGGTCCTCGGGTTTCACCCTCCACTTTTATAAACACGCGGTTTAGAGTATTCAGATGTTCTACATTTCCACGTGGTATGGCCACTTTGTTGAGCTGTCATTTGTGGCAAGGTCGCTTCTGAAAAATAGCTATATAGCTCAGTGGGCCTTACATGGTAAAATAAAGATAGTTTTTAGTTAAAAATAGTTCATGGTTCTCATCCCCGCTTACTTGCCCGCTCGCCAATTTATCTGTTCTCCGACTCGTTTGCCCGCTCCCCAACTTATCTGCCACTTCACCGAATCTCCCGTTTGTTCATCCTTTGCTTGTTTACCTGCTTTATTTACATGCTGTGTGATCCGCTTACCCCCTTATTTGCCCACTTGCTGGTTCATTCATTGCCCGGTCACCCAGTTTATTCGCCTCCTCGCTGATTTGTCTCCCTGCTCATCCTTGGGCTTGTTTTCCTGCTGCCTCACTTGCTGCTCACTTGCCCACTCGCTCATCCAATCACCCAGCGTGGCCATGCTTGTTTTGTACATGGCAGATTTATTATTTACTGCGACGCTCGCCAGCGATCCAGCGCTTAGGAGGCGAGGGATCCTGGATCTCGCAGATTCGTGAAACTCCCCAACCGTTTGGGCTGCGAGGTGGCAGTAACAGTGATTGTGGTTTGTGAGCCTGTCTGTGCGGACGTTTGTGTAATTATCTCTTAGTATTCTTGCACTTTCATCGGATACCCTGGTTACAATTCCACATCATAAAGCGCTCCTTGAAAAGCAAATCGCCAAACATCCATTCCACAGTGAGGTTTACTCTGGATAAATAAATGCTTGTATACAGGTCTCACCAGCCACAATGCAAACTATAATAATAATGCTAACAATGCCCTTTAATTAACCAGGTAAGCCTCACAGAGTCTCAACAATCGAAGCCCCACATCTACAACATCTGGCATTCCCGGAAATCTCCCATGTTAGCACGAGCCAAGCAAAACCCTGCGTAGCTTCTGACGTGCCGAAGCGCGCGGCCGTGAGCAAACTGTGACGTCTCCTGCGGGGTGGCCGGTCGTGGTGGCGGCGGTGGCTCTGATGGAGTGCACGGCCGCTCGCTCTCACTTCCACCGTGGTGAGAAGCAAGACACCTCGAACCCATCCAGTTTCCCTGCGTGATTTGTGGTGCATGAGAGCGCTCGGGAGAAGAGTGGCGGTGTTCGTTTCGCGGGGGGCTAATCCGTTAAATTGGCCGTGAGCGGCGTGAACAACAGCCGTTGGCTGGTGTCGTGGTCGTAAAGTCACGATAGGTCACAGGGTTTGCTTTGACGTTCCCCAACGCAGAAGGACGGATTCGCGGTGTCCATTCCGTCGCGGTTGGTGCAAGCAGATCTTGCATGCTGAAAATTCTGCAGTTGCGATAATTATCATTGCCCGACGCGGATCGTCGTCGTCGTCCGTCCGTCCGTTCGGGATTGATTGCAGCGGTGCAACGATTCACGGCCCTCGCACTACGATTCAGAAATGGACTATTTTCTAATTGTTATGGTTAATGTAGCAACCTCTTAATCAGCTGCAGGGATCACGTAAACCCATTACATACATCTAGGGATCGTAATAAATAATCTGATTCCTACAGGCCTGATTTTACACATGAGTTTAATAATCCATAATAATGCATGATTTGATGCGTCATTCTTACACTCTGTAGTCAATGGAACAATGACCGCTTTGTAGGAAGTTCACGGACGTTTCATCCTCGCCATGGGAATGTAGAATTACACCACTGTTTCAGAGCCAACGCTGGAGACAAAGTGACCTTACTGCTGCTCGTCTGAGTGGGATTGGCTCAAACTCTGACGTGAACACTTTTTTTTCCGCTAAATCTCACGCGGGAGAATACACGCCGCCGTCATTCCCCGTGGCTCCCGCTGCTGGCGATGTCGTGCCGCGTCTCGTCTCGACGCAGCCAAGGGGGCAGGGGCGAGGGGAGGGGGATGTAGGGAATCGCGCCTTCTGGAGCGACCGGCTCAACACGCCGGTTTTATTTTTCACGTCGAGCTCAACGGTCTGAACTGCGCCTTGATCAGGGGCAAATTGGAGCCAGGGGCCTGCGAATTTGGGCCATTCACAAACCCTCCGGGGCTGCTTGAGTGGCATTGCCCGCCCCCCCTCCCGCCAGCCATGAGGTGGAATCCCCCTCGCCCGCTCCCATTGCCCCGACAACCCTCGTTTGCTGTTGGAGCGCTGCACAGGGCTAGCCTGGCCCACCGCCCTGCTGCTAAAGCAGGATTATGGATCGCACGCAATATGCTAAATATAACGCTTTCGCAATATGTGTTCATTTTGACAAATGGCGGCATCAGACGGGGGAAGAGGGATCTGTTTTTGCGGCAGATGAAAAAGCAGTAATCCATATCCCCGGCCTGATATTGTTTACGGACACGGCACTTCATCTCACACTGCATCTGATGAATACCGAAGGCACGAATATGCTGCCGTGGGGAATGCAGATTGCGGCTAGTGCCTTTCAGCACAAACTAGGACATCATTTTCACGAGCGGGGCATCATTTTTAGTTGTCTGTTTATGATTTTTTCCTCCCCCTCCCCCCTTCCCTTGGCGTTGGATTATCGCCGCTCTTATTTCACCATCGGTGTTTTAATAATAATAATTATTTACAACCTCATGTCAGTACACTGCTCGGCGAAAGGGCCACCCTGCTCCCCCATGCGTGTCGGTCGTGGGGGCTGTTTGACCATACTTCACCGTGCTGAGCAGTGCCGGTTGGCAGAGGCTGCGTTCGGCAAGGAATGCAGCACTATCGCTTTGGAGGAATTTCGACTATGAAACGAATATGCAATTCGATGAAAACGAGCTCTTACCTTGTAGATATGCACTCGTGCGATTTGCCGTGGGCCATGCGATCTCTCGTTTTCCGTTTCATTAAAGCGGGAAAAAAAATTACCTTAAATCTCTAATCGTGTACTCACAGTGACTGCAGTTGGTGAAGGGGTTAACTCAGGCCCGGCTCACGTATCAATTGTCGTCGATGTTAGCAGCGGCCAGGAGTCAAACTCGGGTCATCAGGTTCATGGCTCGGCACGAACACCACTGTGGCGCACAGCTGTTGTTGTTTCAGGGCCTCTTTAATCCTGCATTCAAGTGAACGAAGTGCAATGGCCTGCATTGTTTTATATATTTTTTTCTCTTCGTGTTGTTTCCAGTTGTAACATTTTCCCTGCTTACCGTAGTGACCAATTTGAGACGATGTTAACGTCACGTGCACGAGATGTGACCATGTTTCGGTAAAAAAAAAATCAATATTTTAGTTATTTATTCTGGCATTCACAGCGAGGAAATGGTACAGGTGAAAACGACATCACACAGAACGACATGAAGCGCTCAAAGAGACCAAACCAAAGCGCTTCACTTGCGCGCCGTGGGCTTATTGGATCAGCCAACATCCGAAAATCGAGACAAATAACATTATCCCAGAGTCAGACCTTCAAGAGTCATTATCTAACAACGACAATCTTGCGCCCCGTAAAAAAAAAAACGAAAGGGGATCTTTTGACCCGTGTCAGAAAAGCCACCCTTATTGAATCCCTGTAAAACCAAAAAAGCGGACGAATCTACCTACTCTCTCCAAAGCGCAGACACGGCAGGGGAATCGGAGAGAGGAAGAGTAACCTGGAGATTTTACACCAGCACGTGATAGTCACCCGCGTGCCATCACATTTGAAGATTACGCGCTCACGTAATGCGGTATTTCCGACTTGCGGTGCACCCGTTGTCCAGATAACGATTCCACTTCCCACAGCAATCTGTTATGCGAGGAATATTGTGAGGTTTACCTCTTGGGCAGCCGATATCACCTGGTTGTGAATGTGTCTCCAGTACGGCATTTGCGGTCGTGGTGGTATAAGCCGTGGTGGTGTTATGCATGGTAGTGGTAGCGATCGGATTCAGGTTTTATTTCAGCTGATGAGGCCCATTGAACTAACCATCGCTTTTCCAAAGACGATTCGATTGCCATGGCCATGGTGATGATGTTGGTGATCGTGTTGGTGGTGGCCATGGTAGTGACTGTTCTGCTGATCTGGTGGCATCGGTTACATTGGTGGTGGGGTATAGTGATTGTAGGGTCCATGTTGCCAATGATAATTGTGGTGATATCCTTTTCAGTAGTACCCATGTTGACGTTGCTGTGACTGCTTTGATAGTGAGCTTGTTGCTGATGGTAGCAATGGTGTTGCCTATGGTGGTGAATTACATTTCGATAATGGCTTTGGTAGAAATGATGATGGTGGTGGTAGTAGTGGTGTTGACAGTGCCTGTGTTGGCATTGGCAGCGTTTGTGATAGTCTTGGTGGTGGTAGCGGTAGCAATGGTGGTGTGGCGCTCATAGTGGTGCTAATTGTTCCATTTGTGGTAGTTCAGGTGGTGGTGTTGGTGGCAGAGGTGTTTTTTTGTCATCGTGGTTTTGGCAACGAGGCTGTTTTGTGGTGTTGGCAGCGGTGCCATTTGTGGTTGTCGTGGTAGTGCCGTTTCTGTTGATGGTGTCCATCATGGCGGTGGCAGTCATCGTGGTGGCGGTGGTTGCGTCTGTTGTGGTTGTGGTGGCGGTGGTTGCGTCTGTTGTGGTTGTGGTGGCGGTGCTGATGGGAGCGCGCGCCGTCCGTCCCTGCAGGACTCGGAGGGTGACACTCCGCTGCACGACGCCATCAGCAAGAAGCGGGACGACATGCTGTCCGTCCTCATCGACGCCGGCGCGGACGTGTCGCTCACCAACAACAACGGCTTCAACGCGCTGCACCACGCCTCGCTGCGCGGAAACCCCAGGTCGGTTGCACAAACGAACGCCGCTGCCACCGTCAAGTCGGCCGTTTCGATTTGTTTTTGGTCTTTTTTTTATGTCTTTTTCTCAATTTCATTCCAGTCTTCTTCACGATCAATGGGCAGATTGCCCGTCGGTGTCCACTGCACATTTTGTCATTTGTTTCCACTTTCCTCTGTCTTGTGCCAATATGCTGAAGTAGTGCCACATCTTCCTGGCACCGGTCTGTTGTGGCGTCATCAAGCCATTCTCTGTTAGCTTTTTGCTCTTGGCCAGGGCTTAATTTCTCACAAAATATTTTTACGCTTCACCGATTCAGGACTGCAGTCGCCACGTAACGGAAGAGGCAACGCAATAGCGATGCGTATACTGGATTTGGTGTGCCGGGTGTGGAAATGTTTTTTTGGCTAGCCGAGCCGGACGTGCTCGGCTGACACGAGGCATCCACTTGGGACTCCCGCAGAGCAGTGCTCTGTTACCGGGCGGTGGAAATTGATATCACAAAACTACTTGCGAGTCGCTTCTAATTTACCCTGTTTTGTTCAGACTGGGACCATTAAAGTCGTTGCACTTGAGAACTACCATTTAATTGTCGGCGGCTGAAATTCGAACGCAGAATTTCAGCCGTGCCGCCCGCTCAGCGCTCTGCCCTCCGAGCCATGTAACCACCTCTCGGGTCAGCATTTAAAAATATATTTGTTGATCGAACTCGCGGTTGTCAGGTGTGCTCAGTCTCCTGGTTGGGAGTCAATGTAGACGATCGTCGCTTCAGTGTCGACATAATTAGATAAGGACGGATGTGACGGTAAAAATGGAAAACATGACAGGCAAGTGACCCGTCACAACGCCCGCCACGCTAGGAACACGTACAACCCTGACAATAATAGCAACCGACTCGCTTGTAGCAGGAATTGTGAACCCATTGATAATTCACCGTTGATGGCACGAATGCCATCGCTTCTGGGAAGACTGCAGTTGTTGACGCTGACCCCCCTAAAATCCAGCCATCTTCTCTACATCATAGAAGACGGTCACATTGTCCCGCTGGAAATGGGAAGTGGTGGCTAAATGGGGGCTCTGGCGGAGGGTTCACAGGGCCTCCGGTTGTTCGTGGTGCTTGCAACCGAATAGTGGGACCTTAGGTAAATGATAGAATTACCCAAGGCAGGTTAATGTCCAGCAGAGCAAGCTCACCGCAAACACTGCCGAGAGCAGAACTCGGCGGTTCGGTGTTGTTCCGGCCACCGAGCACAGCATCGTTGACGGTTGCAGGTGTTTCTAAGAGTTGTCGGTCACCACTGGAGTCCCAATGTCTTCTGAGCAACCACAGCCACGTAAACGAGGAACAAGCCTTCCAGTCCAGCATGGGTTCTCGAGGTGTTCTGCTAACTTGTCACAATAGTGAAGTTCATCTGAGATTCATGACTGAGTTGCTAAATCGTGCTCCATCGGTAACCCGCCGCTTTCAGTCTCTCTTGTTCGTTCGTTTATTTGTAAATAAAAATTCGTCGACCCCAACTTCCCCCCACCAACGAAAGTCTCCTTACCCCGTGCACTCCAAGCTATAAAGTCGACAGTTAATGAATGATTATTAGTATTAGAAAATTCCTTTAAATGACCTCTGATCCACACATTAAGGGGGAAGCACTCCCCCCCCACCCCCACTTGCCTTGCCACACAGAGAGAGCAATCTTCGTCGCATGACAGTCAAGGCGATATTTCTTCCAACAACGATGAGCACTGCACCGTCTCCTGCTCGAGCAGGGGGACACGCACTTTGGCTTGACTTTCCGCATTATTGAACTAAGCACAGCTCGTAAAAATACATACGCATCAAGGTCCCACATCCGGCCCTTTGGCACTATTTCACACGCCTCGGAGACAGAGTGCCTCTGTAGTAGAATCGCTTATTAGACACTAGTTCCTTATTATGCGCCGCGTGAGACGCAAGGGCGATCGGCCGCCCGCTGGGATGCTCACTGGAATTTCCCCCCTTTTCACGTTGCTAAGTCCAAAGTTTACTTCTCCACATGCGACATCTACAGACCTTCCTCCACCTTCACGTTATAGCTGGTCCGATTTCCAACAATTCGAGTGATTTGTTTTGCTCAAGTGTGCCGCAAATAAAACAAAAATCTCCACCAATTAAATATTCTGCCGCCATCGTGAGTTACGGTTCCTTCGTTCTCCCGAAGGGCTACCATTAGTTGAGACGCGGCGTGTGCGTGTTGGCAAGTCCAGGGTGTGTGCCTTGCTTAGTGTGGCATGCACATCCTGGACGTCCGTCTCCAGAGAGACGAGCACGGAGCATATCCATAAAGCGAAACGATTGGAAGCCGTGCATCCGTTTTAATAACGCGTCGCCGCTTCTTGGATCGTCACGCGCGCCGGCACTTGCGCCGCTCAAGTGACGGTGCTTAAAAAGCGGCCGACTGCGCAGTGGTCCTTGCCCGGCGGGTCTCGGCGGGTCCCGCGACTTTTGCCCGTGTTTTTTGGTCCATCGTTTTGGTCGTTAAATAATGACCGTGCATGTGTTTGGCACACATCATCGTCGTCGTCGTCGTCATCATCGTTATTATTACTCACCATTTTATATGAACTGCTGGGTGAAAGCCCTCTCAAATTGTCGCCTTTATTCACGGTCTTGCAATTCAATGATCTGTCTAACACGGGCACATTGTGAGCTAAGTCCATCGCTCCACCCCCCCGTAGTCAACTTCCTGACGGGAGTGTCCTCTTGGGCGTATCTTCTCCTTTGGCTGCCACTCTCTTGTTAGTCTCGACCGCCGGCCATCGTTCCTCCGAGCGACGAGGTGCCCAAACCCATTTACTTTTCTAAAGAGCCGATGTGACGTCTCTTAACTCGTGCAACGCAATTGTATAAGTGTCTTGATTCAATACACTTATACAATTGCGATTCAAGAATCGGTTCTCTTTGTAACCTTGATGGTTAATGTAGCGACCACTCGTGGGCTGCATTGGTGCTGTGAACCCGTTACATTCAACATGTGTGAACCCTTCTTAACCGCGTGATTCATGTGCGAATCTCATGATTAAGAGCCGTATTAATTGACTAATGATTCCATTCGTCCATTCCCACTGTCATGTTTGACTTTATTCTCAATTGCTCTTCGTGCATCGTCAAATACGAACACGCTTCTGTACGTGCAGTACATACATTACACATACGTCCGTTTTAATTGCAGACAGAGCTTCATTTGTAACTTTTGACCAATATCCACGGCCATAGCGAGATGTATACTCGATGTGGTGTGCCGGGTTGCGGACAGATTGAACCAGGCAGATCTGACTGAAATGAAGCCCTACTCCTGCACATGTGTAGGGGAGTAGTGGGCGACGTCACGTCACGCTCGCCCTCGGAGAGTGGCGTCGCAGAACGTGACGTCAGGCGGACCCTGGGGCACGCTGACATCATGCCCCAGGGAGGTATTTAAAGGGGGACCCGGGGATGTAACGGGGTTGGTCGGGGGTAGGAGTGGGGACTCAGGGGAGCTGATCCTCACCCGAGGCTAGGGGAGGCCGCTTCAGCCGACGGGCCGAGGTTGGGGTTGTAGGGAATTTGGGTACCCCTGTCCCCTGGGAAGTTATCGCTAGGGGGCTGGGTAGGCGTAAGCCCCTAAACACACTTTGGCGTAAGCCCCTAATAAACGTGGCGTAAGCCCCTAACAGCAACCTGCTTCGGAGTCGTCATTTACGCCGCAACACATGAATTAAAGCCGGCACATTTCTCTCTAAAAAAAAACACTAAAAAAACCGTCACGTGTTAAAAAGGACTTCCTAATTTTTCGACTTAACAAAGCAAATATTTTGACTTTCCCCAATTCAAATTCTCAGTGGGGAGGCGCCTTGTTTTACGAGATCTTGGGTGATTAACCGATATCCCCGTGCCTGCGCTGCCGCTGCCGCCACCCTTAGTATGCAACTTGCGATCGCCGCCGGAGTACCCGGCCTGCAGCCTCATTATCATTACGCGCAATGCTCTCCGCGCCACCAACGAGTGATTGGCAGAGTTTATTATGGGTCGCCCGGTGCACGCCGTGGCGTCGGCGTCTCCAAGCTTGGTTCCTCCGCTTTAATCAGCCTCGTTAAAAAGCGCTTATGCTGCGGCGGTGTCCGTTCCACTACCCCCCTCCCCACCCACTCCGCACCCCGCGCGCCACTCCCCCCGCCGTCCTGGCACGGGGTGGATGGTGGGGAGTTGGGTGTGGGCGGAGGAGCGAGGCTCGCAACAACGAGCGGAGCGCCGCCAGGTTGGCTGAGAGGCAGCAAGTCTGCAGCGTGGCGGGGAGTGCGAAGTGGTGCATCTGCCAGTCACCTCAGTTCAGTCGATTCCAAACACCTGGGTCGATAACCGTGGACCTCCTTGCCCGGGAGCCTTCTACACTTATTCACACGGTCTCAAAGTGAACCGAGCTCGGGACAAATTCTGCGGTGACGTCACCGCCACTCAATTGCCGTGGTGGGTCGTCGTCCGTCACTTTTGCGCGAGTCCACCGCAGTCAAGACATTGGGTCAGCGATATAAATGGCGGCACGGTGCTTGCTGTTTATTTGCGGCAGGTTTAATGTTGAGCCGTCTTGCTCCACAGCCTCCTCCCTCTCTCCCTTTCCATCACACTCTACTTCCTGAGTCGGACTCTCCGCTCAAACAGCCGAGGCCTCTTGGCGAAACTTAAGTCAACCTACGAAGCTGTGGAAGGTCACTCCTTCACCTCTGCTACCTCTAATTCCGAGAATTTCCTCCCACTAGTCTGCCGACTCGACACTGCTGACTGCTGACTCTTCCCTCCTTTGGCGTGAAGATCTTTCATTTCTCCCCTCTCTTTGACGAGCGACTTCTCCAGTGACACCCCCCCTACCCTTCATTCCCCCACGTTTCCACTGCCACATCCTCCCCACCCCCCCCCCCCCCCCCCCCCCCCCCCACGGCCGTCCTTCCGATCACCGCTCCTTTCCCCAAACGCGTATCTCCCGCTGTGTGCGGCGTTTAGAAATTCTGTCCCATTTAGCAGCAGCGGCGGTAGTCTGGTAAATCCAAAGTGTAATAACAGAGCCCGGACTGAGCGGTGCGCGATCACTTTTCAGAGGCAGCCTGAGGCCAGGTTTAGAATCAATCAGCTCCCACAGTGAACCACACTTGCGGGAATCGCCTTCAATGCATTGTCAAGGTCCCCGCATTCCGTCCGTACGTTAAATGCTAAATTCTGGCCGGGAGTTATTATTTCCATGGTTAGTTTTGTGTTGGTTATTTTTTTTTGGCACTGCGTTTTTTATCCTATCCACCTCCCCAGCCCAGAAACGTGTGCACGATCCTTTCCTGTATTTGCGCTACCGTTTGCGGGTTGTGCACTGTTTGAATATTGATCAGCGGACCCGGCGTGATGGATCGTCCCAAGCTGAGATTCAGCAGATTTCTTTTTCGAGACGCAAGTTTGTTAATCTCACGCAAACACGAGCACGCAGCGTGTGCAGTCGGCCGCCGCTGCCGTCGCGCGCACCGCGACCGCGTGGACGCACGGCGCGGGGGCATCGTGCGCAAGGCACGGAGCGGACACCGGCGGCGGACCAGTCAGTAAGCCAAGGTCACAAACAGTTTTTTCCCACGAGCGCTTCCATAAGTTGCTTGCATCGTTGTCAGTTTCGCCCGAAAACACCGCGACTTTCAGAGGACACAAATGCCGTTGTGGAATGCTCTGTTTATTGCAATTTCTCGTATTAATTTACATTATTGCTTTTAGTTAATTTTCCACTTGCACGGGAAAAAAGGGGGACTTTTGTTACATGCAAGTGTCGGGACGCCAATTCTTGTTTTTGCACGTGTGTAACCTAGCGGTTTTTGGTGTCTTAACTTCCGACAAACTCCTGTCGCCGCTGCCCCGGCACCGCGAACGAGGAGGGTTGCAGCCATAAGGCAGAGGGGAGAGAGAGCCTCGTCTTCACAGCCTTGCGCGCGCCACGCTGGAGGAGAGGGACCAGACGCACGATGGGGGGGGCACGTTGGATGCCGTCGATTGCCGCTCGAAATCGCAGGTCTCCTTTGGGACTCGGCTCCGTGGATTGTCCTGTCGCTGGAATATTTTCTGCTTTGCTCGGGGCCACGGGAAGAGGCGGGGCGGGGGGGGGGGGAGCACATGGTTGTCCTCATTGGGCACAACAGCAGTCATGCCGACCGTGCCTTCTGTCGGAACGTGAGTCAAAGAGTAAGCAAGTTACGCGAAGCGCACGCCTGATTTTATATGGAGGCGTATTTAAAGAAATTGCACAAAGGGACTTGTCGAGTCCTGTGCGTGACAACGCTGCAACGGGTGCCGATGGTGTCGTCTGCTGATGGAGGCGAGGGGAAGCCAGCCGAAAGTTCCTTCCAGTATGTGGCATTGTAGGGAGCTTGAGCTATGTGCTGCCCTTGGGCAAAGCGCTGAATCGATGAAGGAACAGAAGAAGAAGACGACATTATTATTAGTTTTTCGTCGAAATACATTCCAGTTGTGCTATTAGGGTTACGTCATGAAATGGAGACGTGTTGATTTGTATCTCTTGCTGCGAGCGGCGTCGCGTCACCTTGTGTCGGCATGGCCGCGGAGGTCGATGCTGTACATCTCCCGAAGTCACTTCCGTCACTTCCATCGTTATTGGTCATGACCTAGCCACAGCTGGATGGAGGCCTCTCCAAGTCCTTGCCGTTGAACTCGGCTCGGTGTGGGCCTCCTTTAGCCACACCTTATTTCACGTGCGCAATATTGCCCTGCAAACATGTAAAAAAAAGAATCGTAAATATTATCAGAGCTGTAATAAGCTATTTTAATAGTATAATTTTTCATGCAGTCTTTGATTACCGATTGAGAACCATCCACTCGCTACATCTTAGAAATCCGGTTTATTTACAGGTGTCTGATCCCCACATTCAAATTCACAATTCCACCAACCCACTTGCTGTACTGCCATCGCTGCTTAGCCACTCCACCACAGAGTTTGGGCATTTCATAAACATTCACGATCCACCCACTCCTGCCTCCAAAGCAATGGATCACATCCGTGCGTCGCCGCCACGGCCCGTCGCCAAGGGAACATGCAACTCGCTGCCACTGGCTCAGGGTCGCCAGTGGAGAGAAATGTGGCGCCGTGCGTACGCGTGGCCCCTCTCCTCTGAATATTCGCCGGCACCGCGATCGTCCGTAGCGATTTCCGTGGCGATCCCTTCCGCCGTGGCGCGTAGCGGGGGGGGGGGGCGTGGAGCGCGCGACTGGCTGCGAGGTGGCCGCGTCCTCAAGGTCTCTCTCCGCCGCCGAGACAGGTTTTCTCTTACTGTCGACGCCGATACCACCCAGCATACCCGCCCCGGTTGCGATCACGGTGTGGGGTGTGGCCTCTGCAGCTGGTTGAAGGGGACCAAATCCCATCTGCGAACGATTTGGTTCCGTTTTACCAGCTGCAGCGGCACCGGCTTTAGATGAAGACGACCGCTGCCCCTCGCGGGAGACGCTGCCCTCTCCTGGCCCATCCGTCCGTACATCTGTCGGGCGTCCTTCTGTCACGTCCATTTGTCCGTCAGTCTGTCCATCCCTCCGCCCGCCCTTCCCGGGCCAATTAAAACGCCGCTGTGGGTGTGCCGAGTCCCCGCACCGAGCGCGCGGGGCGGCTTGTTACGTAACCCCTGCATTTCTTGGGATTTGCGTTTTGTTTTTTTTCTCGGCACCAGCTGTTGTGTTTTGAAAACATTGGTTGTAGAAGCAGCAGTGACGGCGGCGGCGAGAGCGATCACCCGATGAATCACGGAGCCCTGTCACTGAACCCTCAAGGACACCTGAGTGAGTCTGATGGAAGCTTTTCCAATTCCTGGATACGGTTGATTTGTTTTCCTCCTCCTAACACACTTTAGGACATGGGGAGAAAGCACTTTAGAAAATAAGGCATCCTGGTCCATCCATATTTAACCCAGCTGGAAATCCCTTAAATATGCGTACGGGTTTTCCAATACCGTGAAAGGACCCATGGAGTGGATGCTGCGTTGTGTGTAAGGTGCGAGAGGTTGACCCTCGGGGTCCCAATTCACACACACACTCTCCTGCGAGCTCTCAAAGGGCCGGCCCCGCTATCGTATCGCTCGAGACATGTTCCCACGCACTAATCGTCTCGTGCTCCCCCATCCCCGACGGATGGAGTATTAATGTGGCAACCTTCACTCGAAAATGGAGAGGGACACGGGCCTTTCCTTTCCGGAGGCATGGGCTGTTGCGAGTGAATCGGAATCAGAATATTTACCTATCATGGCGGAATCCCATGAGCTATAAAGCTCTTCTTCACAGATGTCCAGAACGTTTCAGCAACAAACAATACAAAAACGCGAGAGGAGTGCAAAGTTCAGGAAAATGTAACAAATCACTTAAAAAAAATGCAAATCAAAGTTAACAATTTTTTTTATCTTACCAGGTAAAGCCTACCGAGGTATTAGCTTATTTTTCTGAAGCGACCTGGCTATCACAAATAATCGCTCAACCAAGTGGCTTATCGGGTGTAATCGTAGTTAATTCGACTCGTCGTCGCATCGCAACGACACAGCTCTGGCACGGACGTCTTTTTGGTTCTGCGAGCACGCACGCACGCACGCACGCACGCCTGCCGCCTTGCTTTGAGGAGACGGCAGGGGTCGAGACGCGGGAAAGGAGCGACCGCCAGTGCCCATGCCTGGCTCCCTGGCAGAGCGAACGAACGAGCGAGCCCGCGACGAGCGGAGGACACGTTCCCCCGGTCCCCGTTGCCCAGCTGTGTGCGCTTGACGGGCGTCGCAGCAACACGGCGAATGGCGGTGGCCTCCAGGGCTGGCCGCTTTGAGCTCGACTGTACCCGCGCAGAGACATTTGGCCCAAAAGTTTACTGCGGGAAAATTAAGCTTAATTCTTGTTTATTATCCAACGATCTCTTGTAACAGTTGACCAATAACGTGCATCCCGATGTTAGCCACATTATATAAAAGTATAAAAAAGCGACTGCAACTTAATCGGGTTTGTGAACGTAACTTTGGTTGCAACGCGGTACTATATTGCTTGAAGTGTATCACACGGGGGTCCGTCACGTTGCTCTATAAGGTAAAAACCCACAAATATCTCGCCTCGATTTCAAACGTTGCACTCGGCCATCTTTGCAGAGTGCGAACGCAGCGTAATTGACCGTTGTTAATTCGGACGACGAATCATCGGAATCTGTTCCGGCCGCCCCGTCCTACGAGAGGGCGAGATCGGACCTAAACCGCAGTCTCAGCCGCGTTAATTAAAACCATTACATAAACAAGATGTCGCCGTTATGGCGAGATGCTCGGAAATTGCCTTAATTAATTGTGCGACGTGGCTTTTGAGTGGCCGCGTGCGCGCGGCTTCGGAGAACGCCAAGCGCAGCGCAAAATTATGACGGGCCGCTTTCGCGGGGGGGGGGGGGGGGGGGGCACACACGCACGGGCGCGCGTTTTGTTTTTGTGCATCCCTCAGGATTTTCCCGAGCGCGGTGCCGAAACGAGGAACGCCGAACGCTGTCGCGCCGTTTTCCAATGAGCGAGAGCCGGCCCGTAAATTGGCGGCGATAAATGGCCCACGGAAAACGGCTCGGCGGCGAAATTGGGCGGCGGCGAAATTGAGCGGCGGCGTTTGGTCGCGTTAACGAAACGACCCGAAAAAAAAGGCGACGGGTGGAGCCGCAGCGGCCCTCACCGTTTTCAATCGTGGGGTTGTCGTGTGCCGGTTTCGTTCCTCGACGTTCAAAGAGCACGTCAGCGTTGTTTAAAGGGGCCGTCACTCTGCGCGCAAGCGCGGCCCCTCACGAGTTTTATACCGGAGGCGTGCGGTGACGAAACGCGCTGCAGAGGGGGGAGAAGGTGCTGCGCGGGAACGGCAATTACCGTAATTGGCTCCTGAGGGCTGGGGGGGCTGCTCTCTCGTGATTAGACGGCGGAGGTCCTGGCACTTTTCCTCACGCTACTTTATTAATCCCTTTCGGTTTTTTTCTTTCTCTCTCTCGCTCCACCAAGCGAGAGCCGGCAGCGCTTGCTCATGTGCCAAAGCAATAAACGGTTTTGTGCCGCAATTTTCGAATGGCCGTAATGTTTCAAGCCGCGGAGTGATATTTGTGTTCGTGCCTTCGCGAAAATGTTAGAAAGTGTATTTAAAGTGTGCACCCGTAACATCACGAAAAAGAGACTAAGAGTTTATTAAATTACCCGTGGTGAGCGGCGAGCGCGCTATTTTGTCCTGATTCACTGGAAGTTGTTGGCTGCGTATATTGGACAACGTCGCCACGGTCTTCCCGTCCCTGCATTGGGCCACGAGTTGCACGTGGACATAGAGCCAGCACAGGTCTTCCCTCCCAAACATCTTTAAGATGAGAATGTGCTGCTGATTCCCACCCAGAACCCATACTTCTTTACATTCCACGATCCCAGCTCGCGCACGTGGCTTTATAAAGAAGTACGTGCTCTGGCTGGGATTTATTCTCCGTAACTTTGACGCTTCCTAAATTCCGACGGTTCCTAAATCCCCCCGCCCCCAGCCAAAGTCGGACAGGATGCCATGAATAAGATTTGTGAATAAAGAGTAACCGTACCTACCTGCACGTTGAGTCGCAGGCCGCGCCCCCCCCTTCTCCTTTCGCGACGACAGCGACGGCAGGAAGTTAATATTTTCTTTCATTCCCATTCGGTGCTCCTTAATCACTTCGGGAAAAGCACAGTCTGTTCGGCGGGCAAATTATAATCCCTTATACAGTCTTCGTTCGTGCCTTCGGGTTTCGCGGGCCTTCCACGCGCAGGAGAGGCCGGGTTCGGTGCATCGGTTGCTCCTCGGGGGTGGCCGTGCCCGCGAGCGTGCGGCGGAAGCATTTTAGAATTCTCACTCCGTCCCGGCCATCGCTCGCTCGCTGTGTCACACCGCTCCGTCCGCGTAATCGATGACCCGCCCCTCGTGACGCGCCTCGTCGTTTGCGCACACGCACACGACCTTGCGCCGCCGGTCCTCCGTCCATCCGTGCGTCCCCCTTCCCCCCCCAACCGCCTCCCTCCTTCCTTCCTTCCGAGGCTGCAAAATGCGCGTGCGCTAGTGGTACACGAGCGCACGCACACACGTGACGCATATATTCTTGGGTACACTCACCACACGCAGGCTCACGTGAACATTAACACGTGCACGCAGGCACACACACCATATCAATGTATTTATGGGTACACGGCACACATGAAAACGGACATATGTGCACACGCCACATATGCACATGGGCATATGCATCATACACACATTAATTGGTATACACACCATACAGGCTTGCATCAGCATTAACAAATGGGCATACAAAGACAAAGATCCCCCCTAAAGGCACAGCATCCTGTTGGGGTAAGTTCTGTTAGCGAGTACCTATGAAGGCCGGGACGGCACACGAGGGGGTGGGTGGCCAGCACCACGTCCGGCCGCCTTTGTCTCCTTAGTGGTGAAGTTTACACACTGCACCAGGTCACTCATTTGAGGCTGAGTCGATCTAGGGGAAGTCCAGGACCGTTTCAGATAATCGTCACCGGTGTTGGCCATGAGTGGTAATCTGACTCGGGTCGCCGGGTTTGTACTGCAGCGCGCTAACCGCTACGCTCCTGCTCTCCACAAAGACACGGACACGTGCACACGGACATGCGCACACACATAGACGGACACGCACACAGGCACACATGTACCACAGAGCTTCAGTTGAGGCCACAAGCGCGCCTTGCCGACGTGCACACGAATCACATTTGCATAGCCCTCTTCTCCTCTGCGTTAGCGAGTCGCCCTCACCGCGGCGACCGCTTCACTCCCCGGGGGGGCCTCCCCTCGGGCGCCATGCAAACATGCTCTCGGGGCACCCTGCCCACCTCGGCCTGGCACTCGGCGGATCGTCGCGACAGCTCGCGTGCTTGGCCAGGGGCGCCGCGGCGTGTCGAGCCACGTGCGTGTGTGAACGAGTGGAAGGAGTTTGTGGTGGGGGAGGAGGGGGGGGGTTGGTGGTGGTGGGGGGGGGGGCGGTTTTTTGGAAAGAAACGCCATTGAGCGAGTCCGTCACGTCCGTTGGTGATTTTCTGCTGCGCGTCCTCCGTTTTAAATGCGTGCGTGTACCTGCGAGATTACGATCCCCGCCGCATGCATTATGAGCGCTTCTTGGAAGATGTAATGGGGGGGGGGGGGGGGAGATCCCTCTGGAAAAATAAAGGCATGCTGTCGTGCAGCAATTACTGCTCCCGCCGTTCCTCCGGCGGTGATGTCGAAGGCGCGGTCCACCTGTCCTGAACTTGCACGGCACTCTTGATTCGTACGTGCATAGCGGCTGTGTCTGTGTGTGTGCGTGCAAGCGTACTCGATCACACGTACGCGATCCCAGGTCGAGGTGCCATGTGTTCCAAAGGGTTTTGGCGAATGGGAGATAAACGGCGAGCTCCAGGCTCGGTTTCACGCAAGGCACCTGACAAAGGGGAGCTGCGCTACGAACCCGGGGGACTTGAGTTTGATTCCCAGCTATGCCCAGCAGGAGAGTGCTATCTGAACTAAACCTCGGCTTCCCCTAGGTCAACTCAACCTTAAACGAGCACCTGGTGCGGTGTGTTAAATGTCAATACTGGGGGGGGGGATAAAGGCGGCCGAGTGTTTTGCTGGCCACTCGCCACCCCTTCGTGTGCCGCGTCGGCATTAATAGGTGAGCTTGCATACAAATGTGCCTCAGTTATTGACTTGAAACGGTATAGTCTTGAGCAGTGCTGCTCTTGTTTGGCACAGGAATGACTCGCCGTGCCAGAGCGAGCAAGGGAGGTGAATGCGAAAGTTCCCGCACACCCTCGTACGTCTTTAATGTGGGCACGTGGCACAGCGGCCGGCCTGCTCGTTAGGTTTATGCTGCAGTGTCTTCACTATTCTCGTAGCAGGGTAAGCACTTCAAAAATGTCGTTGCACATTTCTGGGTGGAGTTGAGCTCCGAGCTGCCAAATGCTTGCCATGTGGCACGTGGGTGGCAAGTGAGCTGGTCGCTAGGCTTTTCAGGCACCCCGATGTACGAATGCTCGGCCAGTCTTGAGTGAATTCATGCACGTGTTTAGGCATCCCATGTATAAACATCTCTATGGCTGCTGTTTGAGAGCCTGGATGTACATTTAGCCACCCTGCCTGTGGCTGGAATTAGAAGCAGTGGAGAATAAGTAATGTTTTTCCTTTCCTTAAGAAGGCCAGTTCGGTTGGGACGTCCTTCAGAAAAAGGTAAAAAAAAAACCACCGTTCTGTTTCATTTATTTTTAAATGTATAAGTTGGCGCATGCGAGCGTGAGCGCGGATATTGTAAACGTGCGCATATACTGCGCGTGTAATTTCCGAAAGTGCATTTAAATTACCGGTACAGTTCACCGGTTTTAATTACGAGTCTGAGTACGTTTTACGTCGCCACTGCCGCCACCGCGGCCGCTTGGCAGCTTTAATGTGCTGAGACGGCAACTAGGCAAAGCTAAGCCGGTCAATCACGGAGCCGCTCAATCATAAAACAGCCGAATCTTGCTCCCTTACGTTTCACCGCGATGGCTCCCGCGCTGCGAGGTGGGCCACCGCCTGCGCTCCTCGCTTGCTCGCGCCCGTTGCCGTGGCGGTGGCTTCCGGCGTTCTCTCGTGCCGCGTCGGCGACCGATCCGCTCTGGGGCCGGCCGGTAGCGAGAAGGGGGTGGGGGGAGGGGGGAAGCGGGCGGTACAATAAAAAATAAAAAATTACGGGGTTTTAAATTTTTTTCATTCGACCAAAAACAAACGGATGCCGCACGACGTCACGTCGATGGAACTATCGTCCACCCAAATTCTACTCGGTGTTGTTAAAATATCAAATCGGCAGTGCCGCGCTAGGGGGGGGGGGGGTTCGAGGCTCGTCAAGATTGTTTTTAAACAAATCCATTATTGTGAAACGTACAAACGCACACACGCACAGACGGACACGCGCGGCACACTACGCCGAGAACCGGAACGCTCTGCCCTACTTGCCAAGTGTCACCGTATCATCTCGCGGCGTTAGCAGCAGCAGCAGCAGAACCCACCTGAATTGCGGCACTGCCACAGCCCCCAAGGAGCGCCGCTCACGAGTTGGCGGCGGCAGCGGCGTTTAAATGAAGGCCGAGCGCCGTTGCTCCCCGGTAAATCCCCATCAGGTAAAATCCCGCCGCTTCTGTTGCCCTTGAACGATGAAATCTGCCGGAGAGGCAACGGGCTGGGCCATTTTAACCCTAAACCCCCCCGCCCCCCGTCTCTTCCCCTCGCCCGTCCCCCGTCGTCCCCCTCCCCACTTCGCCCTGCACAAGTAGCGGACGCACGCAAACGCACGGTCCCACCAACCTGACCGGCATGATTAAACCAGGCCTGCCTCTTTCACAGGTGGCGTTTTATGGCCGACGTTAAATTGAGCGATGAGCGAGATGTCGATAAAAAAAAAGAGAGCCACTGAGTTTGGCACCCCGTCCTGTCGCTTTGTTTAGCGAGCGGTTCTTTTTTTATTCCCAGTTTTGTTTGTTCTCGCTCTGAATACAGTAGTCCAATTGCGATCAGCTGTTTTAAATAATGTAATTTCGACCAAAGTCGTCTAAAGATTCGACCACCCAGCCCCCCCACATTCTCTAAGTCGATGACTTGTCATGATTTGTGGTCACCACTTGTTTCCAGAATCTATTCGTTTTTTGTCACGTTTCTTCCGTCTCGTTTGTATTGTTTCTCCCTGAATACTTCTTTACGTTCGTGCCGTTAACACAAGTGTAACATTAGCATCTCGATTTGCATGACACATGCAGAATCGATTCTCGCACGCGCGATTCGATTCCTCTGTCGTTTGCGTACCAATCTATTTCAGTCTCTGAATGATCCCGTCGTTACCTCGCCCGCTAAGAAATTGTCGCAAAGTAGAACGGCATGAAAATGGGACTGCGGTGATAATCGGAGCTGGCTTATTTCATCCTTCCCAAGACCCCGTACGGGTCCTTGATGCCACCTTGTCCTGCCACGGAGGTGCAGGGGGGGGGTGGCGGGGGATGGGAGGGGGGACGGTGGCAGTGTAACGCCCCGGGGCCCCCCACGATCGGCGGCACCGCCGCTGCTGCGACACCACAGGGGGATGTGGTCAGCGGCGGCATCCGCATTGCGCCGCGGAGAGAGGGAGAGACCGACAGTCACGGCTGCTGGGCCCACTCGAGGGTTAATGCATCGGAGAAAGGGGAGTGGGAGAGATTGATGGATTGATGGCCGCTTTGGCTTAACCTAGCCGTCCCCCCAGCCCCCAGCCTCCGGTGATGCGCTGCTCGTTAGACGCCCGTATGGTTCCGCTGGGTTCCGGTGACCGGGCGTGAGCGAGGGGTCAGCACCCAGGGAAGCAGTAAAAGGAGCCAGAGCCGTGGGACCTGATGAGGCGTTGGGAGATTCAAAGAGCCTTTGGCCCATTAGCAGGATTACAGGAGGAGAGAGAGAATGCGTAGGACCCTAATCCTTCAGACGCATAGTCGTAGTGAAAACAAGCTAAATATAAAACAAATAAATCTGTTTTTAAGTAAGTTATTGTTTGCCCAGGAATAAATTACTGACGCTGTACACTTTTGGGAGCATTATGTTATTTTGCTAAAGTGCATTTCTCTTGAGCCTTGCTGCCCTGGTCTGTGCTTGTGCATGTGACTTTCACTTTCATTTTGTTTTTTAATATGTCTTTTCACGGACCAATGTAACTAAATTGAAAAGCAACTCCCGGCCCTCGCGATGTCCAGAAATGTAATTAGGAGAGACCATCCATCCTGGAAGAACCGCACACACGTGTGCTTGTTGTGTGTAATAGAATACGCCAGCGCGCCATGCGCGGTGTGTCTGTGTATGTCTATGTATGTATGTACGTATGTGCGGTCGCGCGTGCACCTCTGTGTGTGTGTATATATACGTGCGTTGCACAGATTATTAATATATATAAAACAACAAAAAAATTTGGGTGTAAGCACTTGCTTACTCGGCCGCTGCGTGCATAATTCATGAGCGGAAATGTGACGGGCGACGCGAGGCTGTGGCAGCGGCGGTGGCGGCTGGCGGGCGGGCGGGCGGGCGGCCGGCATCCGCGAGCACGTGATGATGTGGCAGTAACTTCAGGAAAATGTGTCGCTCGCTCACTCCGTGATTTATGGTCTGTCTCCCGGAGTGTCGGCCGGGGGGGGGGATGAGGGTAAGTGAGGCGCACCCCAGGGACCACTTTACGCTGCTCCCAGCTGCGGCCGGGGTGGGTGGGTGGTTGCGGTGGAAGGTTTCGTTTTAATATAGAAATTTCTTTTGGGGGGTGAATTTTCTTTTCATGTTTACATCTTTGTTGGGGGGCGGGGGGGGGGTGAGCACGGACGTGGATGTGTATGCGCGAGCACGTGAGTTTTTTTTAAACGCCCTAGTTTATATTTTTTTGTTGGTGGGACGTAGCCGATACGGGCAAATATTAAAATGCCCTCTGGCCTGCATCTGCTGAGCCTCTCGGTGGCGTGTGGCGGCACGGCGGAGTAAGAGGCGGGCGCCGCCGCCGCCGCCGGGATGTTCAACTCCCTCGTTGACGGATCGTCTCCGCGCCACAGCAACAACACCACCCCCCTTGTGCAGAAAATTACATTACGTTATAAATTTACATGAAGTGTGCGTGTAATAAGCTCCCGGACGCGGTTATTGGAATGATATCAGTGTCTCTGCCAGCGCCATATTTTGTTTGTTTCTTTGGGTTTATATATATTTTTTTTGACGCTCGCACGCGTGCACGAGCCACTCGGGTGCCGGTGGATTTTTGGCCGATAACCGGTGACTGTTATCTTTCCCCTCTACACTGAGTGATGGTGCGGTGACCTTGACTCGACTGGGTTATAAAATTTCGCACATTCTGTGTAAAGCTAGCGTTGGTATATTTATTATCTCACGGCGGTGCAGGTTTTTTTTCTTACAACTTTCAGCCGCCTATCTTGTTAAGCGTCTGCTTTTGTGACTGCAATGAGATGCCGTAAACCCCACCGCGGAGACGGCAATTCTAAACGCGGATTTTTTTTGTTGTGCTTTTTCCTGCGGATCTCGTCTTTTACGCACGTGTCTTTTTTTTTTAACCGGTAATTGTGTGTATAAAACACTTTTTCTTTTTACACAGTGATTGCATTAAATAGGGTTGTAGATTACAGCTATCAGCAAGAATAAAATAGGTTTTAAACCCAAGCACTGTGCACTCAAGCATGGGGAATTAATTAGACCCTCCATCGTATTTATTGGGCTTAACCCCGTTCTAACTCACCCCCCGTTGCAGATCTAGCCCATAAACGTCGCTTGGCGGCCACCGCTGTTGAGTTCCGCTCCCGTCGCGATGACGGCGGTGGTTTCTCTTGTGCGTTTTTTTCTCTTCCGTTCTTTCCCCGATTGATTCCTGCCTTCCGCTGCATTCCCTCCATCATCTTTCCCGTCCTCACCATCTCCCCCCACCCCCCCCCCCCCAGGTCTCTTTTAAAACTTACGAGGTTAATTGCCGCGACTCTTTCGTTTCGACGCCGGATCGATCGGTTCGCCTGGCTTGGGAGTGATTGAGCGTTGCGCGCAGCTTTCCGTGAGTTTTTAAAGAAAGCGCCCCCCTCTCTCCCCCCCTCCGCCGTTACACTATTGTCCCGCTCTCTGTGCCCTCCTCCCGCTCGCGCCTGCTGCGCACCACCCCCACCCCTCCACCTCGACGCTCCCCCCCACGCTCTGCTCCCAGCGTCCTTTGGGGGCCGCTGGTGAGGGGTAGCCAGGGTTGCGGTGAAATTTTGGTCGCTGAAAACGAATTTAACGCTGACAGGAATCGAGGGAAACTTGCATGGGGCATCATCGATTATAACCATACAATCGTCGGTGCAGTTGGGTGTCGTCGTTACAGCCAAACGGGGGTGAGACATTTGACAATTGAATTGGTTATGCAAACAAAGGTCCTCAGGTTTATTAATTACTCTATTGATTGGCGAAATGCACAAAGGATAAACACGTGGCAGGGGACTAGGTGGTTAATATGGCTTCTGGGCATCGGGGTTTAGATTCTTCCACCAGCTCTATTTTGTGGGATTGCCGTGTGTGCCACATTCGCAATGCGCAGAGTCCACGCACGTGCGCAGAAAATGGATGTAGCCATCGGCCCCCCTCTCCCGACGGTTCGGTGAGTTGTGTCACGGTTTGAATCCAGGAATCCGTTAACCTCTTCGCATTGTCGCGATGGATGTAGCGGCCTCTAGTGGCTGCAGGGATCATCCGAGCCCTTTCCATTCAGCAGATACGAATAAAAAAAACGTCGATTCCCTATGCACACGAATTGATGGGTGTATTGTACAGCTCGAGCGGCACCACTAAAGCAGCATGGACTGCGTAAGTTGTAGGAGCATTACCAAACTTTATTGCTCAAGTTCTGTAGTATGTGCTGATCAGTCCAATTACCTTTAAATATTATAACTAATTTCTAATATAATGAAGCTGTTAATCCTGCACAGATTTTGCTGCTATCAGTCCACTGCTTGAGGTGGGCCTCCAGACACCGTGTCCAGTCATGGCGGGTTTTGTGACCATACGTCACCATGATGGTCATTGCTAGTTGGTTAAAGATCTGATTATTGCTCGCCGCTGATGTTAGCCGTGATGGAAAATCAAACTCCAGTCGCCAGGTTAACGGGGCAGTGCCCAAACCTCTGGCCCACCCTACCGCTGAACCTCCTGTCGGGGCTTTGGTGTTTGTAAAAAAGAATGCTGCTGCATTGTGCATTCATTTAATAAGTAAGGTAATTAATTAATCAATCCACAAAAATACTTTTTATGATTGACATCTCTTCTGGGAAGCCTTTGTGTTCGGCCTCAAAACAAACAAAGCCATTGCAGCTTTAAATGCAGCAAAGGTTTCTTGTCATGCGTGGAATTTTCTCGTGACATTAACTGAAGGGTGATACAGATATATTGAGGGGACCCAGGCAAATTGCATTTGTGTTAACTGCAAAGGTAATGACTGTGGTTACCCGAAATGGCCCTGCGTCTGCAACTAAGTCATCCGCCCGAACATTTGTTGTTTACCGTGGCATGTCATCTTTCTGAAATGTGCCGTGAATATGTAACCGGGCGCTCCAAAAGTAATGCCATCGTAAAAAACATGCACGCCACCCCTGAGCTACAACCGCCAACAACACCAAGGCCACCGCACTCAAGCGCCGCCACATTTGCCATCGGCGCCGCCACCTCCGCCACCACCATCGTCACTGCCACCACCGCCACCACTGCTACTGCCACCACCAACGCCGTCACCACCATCACTGTAACCGCCGCCACCATCCCTATTATGACCGCCACAGCCACCACCACCACCGCCACCGCCGCCAGCTACCACCATTACCATCACTGCCGCCGGCACCGCCGCCCACCATCGCTGCTGCCACCGCGATATTTCGGCCACGTGCCGGCAGTCGCCCCTGGCTCAATTGGAAACCAAGCAGAGGTGACACGCGGCGAGCTGAGCTGCACGCACACTGAGCGCCGTTGGTTACGGGTGTAACGATAAATCGGTCATCATTGATCAATACAAATTCTTATGCTCGCAATACAGTGCCACCGAATAGCGGGTGGAGTTAGTGATCAATGTGTAAACATTGTTTTTTATGTATGTGGGGTGTGGGGTGGTGGCATGCGTGGTTGGCTAACTGCGCTCTGAATCCAGACGGCTAGCATCAGTGGCAAGAGATGTTTGAACCGGTCCTGTGCTTCACCCTTGACCAGTTCGCACTGATCAGCGTGAAGAAATTGAGTGTGTATATAGTATATACAATAACTATCAGAATCTTTATTTAGACTGGAGGAATCCGATGAGCTATGAAGCTCTTTGTCACAGATGTCCAGTAGGGGCGGGTCAGCAAGTAACAACAACAAACAGTACAAAGAAACGATAGGAGTGCGAAATAGAGAGTTAAGCGAGTCAAGTTTACATAAATTCCTGCCGATTTTTCAACACTAAAGTGCAAGCAAGGGGAAAGCAGTAAAACAGCAACAAAAAGAGTCCCAGACCAAGACAACAACAACAACAACAACACAGTCCCTCAATACAATTGCACATAAAAATAAAACTATCGGTACATGGGCGGCAGGGATCAAATTCACAAATCACATTTGCAAATGTGACTGCACCCATCGCCAATCTTCAACAGCTCCTGTGACGGACGTGGCGTGTGAAGGGCTTCATCCAGCAATGGGTTGACAAAGGGCCGTCGGTTATTGTTACGTTATATTTTAATACATTAATACACTGAATGTGGCTCCATACCTCGAGTGGAATCAATTATTTGTATTTATTATTTTCTATTTCGTGAAGTTTTGTCCCCGCATTAGCATAAATGTAACATTAGCATTTAATTTGCACATCATTTACACGAACCATAATCAGAAGGGCAATTCGATGGATTTGCCATGAGCATAAGAATCAGTTTCAATATAAACCAATGCATTATTACGCGCAAAATCACTAGACCCTGAGATTTGAGCTCAACGACACTGAAAATTGCACTTACCCGCTCATGTCAGTGTATAGAGGGTAGCAGCTGCTGATGCTGATCCTGCTGGTGATGATGATGCTACTGCTGCTGCTGGTGATGATAATGATGCTGCTGTTGTTCCTGCAGCTGCTGCTGGTGATGATGATGATGCTGCTGCTGGTGATGACAATGATGCTGCTGTTGTTGCTGCAGCTGCTGCTGGTGGTGGTGATGATAATGCTGCTGTTGTTGCTGCTGCTGCTGGTGGTGATGATAATGATGCTGGTGGTGCTGCTGCTGCTGATGAAGCTGGTGATGCTGCTGTTGCTGCTGTTGATGGCTGCTGCTGACGGTAATGATTATAAAATAACCATGCTCCCCTTCATCTCCCCCACCCCCCTTTCCACCGGACGCGGCTCGACACCGCTCCTCCATTCCGGCAGCAGTAGCAGCAGCGTAATCCAATAAACCGGGGATCGAATTACAGGTCGTGGCTAGCTGTGCCGCCGCGCCGGGCACGAGGGAGCACGCCGTTTTACTTTTCTTTGCGGAATTTTTCCTGTTCCGCCGCCTCTGCCCTCGAATTTTTCCAGAATTGACATCTTCCGAACGAGGGCTCAGCAGTGCCCGCTCGGCTGTTTTGCTGGGGGGCGAGGGGGTGGGGTGGTTTTTGACTCATTGGAAAGTGCAAACAAAGCGGTTCGGTTCCCGCAAGATCCGTTTTAATGCGCATCTTGAATGTTTTGTTGATCGTCGTCATTATCGATATCATCATCCTGCTAATGTTGGCGAAGGCCTCCTTGTACCGCGTTGGTCACGGGGAGGTCGGGGGTCGTGTGACCATACTTCACCACCCTGGTCGGTTTGGATTGGTAAAGCCCGGGGACAGTAACCATGACCGGTTCAAGTATCACTCGTCACTGATTTTAGTCAAGAGACGGGACTCAAATCCAGGTTGCCCGGTTCGTAGCCCAGTGCTGTAGCTCACTCTACCAAATTTTATTGTTACAGATGCTTAATGCTCTCATACTGTTGGAGGTTTTGTGCGCGGTTGTCATTGACCGTTTATACTCTTGTTTGTAATGCAAAAGTTAGATTTTTTTTCTCCCCTGGTCTCTCTGGTTATATGCGTCTCGATGGGCCCTTGCCTGTTTAGAAACAGCGAATATGAATTACAGTAATGCTTGCGTGTATATTGCACCCAGAACATCTTGGAGCGCAGTTTTTTTTTAGCTTATGGGGGGGGGATCCCCATAACGACAGCTTGTCCCAGCGAAAGTAGGAGACGGTCTTAGTGGACTCTTGCCCGCTTATAAATAAAGGAGGGACAGTTGGTCTCGGTGGGGCAGTTAGGATGTGAAATCTAGGGGACGGCTTGCCTCCATTGGCCCCCCCTTACCCCTTTCTGAATACGGTGGCACGTGAATGGATGAGTGAAGAGTGAAGTCTCCCCCAGGGTTGGAGGGGATCCGTGTCGTCTGCGACGCATTGAGAGTGACGCCGGAAACGCATCCATCAGGGTGGAGGGGCTAGCTGCCGTCGGTGAGAAACGCGGAGCCGTCGCTTCTGCCGACGGCGTCGCTCTCCATCGCTGCTTTATTGTCGCATCGCAAATGCCGCTGTGCATTGAAAGCTGGGTGGGGGTAGCCCATTGCGATGCGCAACGGGCTATAAATTACTTTGATCTGGTCTGCCAAAAAAATCTAGTCTTTCCCGTGAAAAATTACGCCGCGATACGTTTTTATCAAACTTTATTTTATATATTTTTAAACCAATGACGAGGTGTGTCGACACGTCCTGCCAGAAATTCGTGTGCACACCGATCCATTGTACGATTTTAAAACATGTCACGTTTCACTGATGTAAATGCTAGAGTGAACAAGCAGTGGAGTCCATCCTGTTTGCCTTCCCCCTTCTCCATCGACCTGCACTGGCCCGTCGTGACGACGTGGGGCCAAACAACCCCGACAATGTAATACAAGTAACGTGTGTGCGTGCGTGCGTGCGTGTGTGTCCACGCGCGCTGTGGCTGCGATTGCTGCTTCCCCCGCGGGCGCAGCGCGGTGCGGGTGCTGCTCTCGAAGCTGCCGCGACCGTGGATCGTGGACGAGAAGAAGGACGATGGCTACACGGCGCTGCACCTCGCCTCGCTCAACAACCACGTGGAGGTGGCCGAGCTGCTGATCCACCAGGTGAGAGAGAGCCGCCCCCCCCCCCACACACACCCCACCCCCCCCACCTCCCCTCTCCCGACTCCACAGAATATGATGACCCGCAGCTACACGTGACCTAGCGCTTCAAAAACAGCTGCCAAACTAAACTCATCCGTCAATGCGAGCGTCTAAGCCGCACTAATCGGATACTAGAGGGGGATCGTTTTTACCTGGTAGCTACTCCGCGTTTCTAATTTTAGCGCGCCCATTCACTTCTGTCGACGCAGGGGGGGGGGCTATTGCAGTGATAGCAATGACCGAGATGTGTTCAATACATGGACCCCTCCCCCGAGAGGATGGGCCACACGGAGACGGAGCGGGGAGGCGCCGCATAAACCAGATTTTACTTGATGACGGTCGTGTCTCTGGCCGGCTGAGCCCAGCTGACCGCCGCGCGCTTACCTCTGAAGGATTGCGCGACGCAGCATGCGACCCCGTTGATTTGTGCGCTTGACGCCGAGTGGTGATGTGCTTTCAGGGCAGCGCCAACCTGGACATCCAGAACCAGAACCAGCAGACGGCGCTGCACCTGGCGGTGGAGCGAGAGCACACGCAGGTGGTGCGGGTGAGTCGCACAACGACAATGACGAACAGCCGCCGTCCGCCACCAAGTGACCGTGGCATCACCACGGCGCTTGTGCGGCGACTGAGGTGTCACCAGCTGTGCTAGTTGCTGGGCTACGGGGAGCGGGGAAATTCTGTTGGTCGGCGGCCCCCCCCACTTCAGAATCAGAATCGGGCCACCCATGCTACGCCGCTGGAACAGGAGTCGGCATGTCTTCAGTTGCTCGGTGTTCTCGTGTGAATTCTTGTGAATTTGTGCACGTGTGTGCATGTGTTCCTGGTTTTTCAATGTGATCGTGTGCGTTTGTGTGTGTGTGTGCGTGTGTTCAGCTGTGGTAGTCGGGAGCGGTTCGTGTAGCAGATTCCCGATAACGATCCATAACAGTAGTAAATACTTGAACTGGTCCTGTGCCTCGCTTCGGTTAACTCACCCGTAAAAGAGAACCTGGTGTGTGGTGTAAACAGCACCACTAGGGAGACAAAGGCGGCCGGGCGTGGTGTTGGCCACCCACCCTCCTCGTGTGACGTTTCAGCCTTAATAGGCGCTCGCAAATGACCTGAACGGTGTGTTGAAGGCTACGCGCGTCATCTGTGTCTTTGCTCAGCTGCTGGTGCGTGCTGGGGCCAAGCTGAATGCACAGGACAAGGATGGGGACACACCCCTGCACGAGGCCCTGCGCCACCACACCCTGTCGCAGCTGCGTCAGCTGCAGGACATGCAAGAAGTGGGCAAGGTCATTGTCACCCCGCCGTTATCACTGCTGCCGACGACGATGTCGCCACACTGCTACAGCACCGTTTTATTTGCGCTTTTTTCAATTTGAATCTCGTCCGGGCCTAAGGTGCGCGAGGTGGCCAGAAGATGGCGAGTGACATTCGTGGCTTCTTAAATGCGTCTGTGCGGAGGTTTGAGTGCCAGCTACAGATATTGCAGTCTGCCCCCACATTATAATTATTATGATCTCACGAACTCCGCTCATTTTTTTATTTGCACGTAGCTTACGCCACTGTTAACATCGCTGACACTGCCTATTTACCTCTTTCGTCAGTCCTTTGCATTTCCTTTCGGCTCCTCATTACAATTCTCGTGCATCTTGCTGCGCCACAGTCGCTGGCAGTGCCTTGGTCATTACGACTCCACCTTAATCTGTCGTGCGCGCGTGAGCGTGCGTGCGTGTGTGTGTGTGTCGGCATGTGTTGCTTTTCGTCCGCTCAGCGGCTTTGCTCACAGTTGGAACTATTATTCACTCGCCTCTCATCTGTGCCAGCCTGAGGATTCCCTTCCCCACAGATGTGTGACTCGTTAACCTTCACGCTGGCAGTGAAAGTGCTCTCTGAGAGTGCATAGGCACTCAAAATTCTTATATTTTTTTTACATTTCACCAAGTTTTAGATTTCCCCGCCCCACCCGGCCCCACCCCGCCACCACGACGAGTGAACGTGTACTGCCAGAAACGTTCATGCGTGCATTTCTCACAGTTTCCCTCTTCCAAAGGTCTCGCTCTCGCCAACAAGATTACAATTGAAGAAGCATCTGTTGCATAATCTGATGCGGCACCCCCACCCCCCCCCCCCCAAAAAGAAAATATTGAACGTTTTAAGCAGCCGTAGTTTCTGACGAAGTTCGATTTGGTTAATAAATAACAATAGTAATGCTATTGTTTCGATTCAACACATTACATAAAATCCGTGATCTGGTTCTGTCTGTAAAAGATGTGATTCCGGACATACAGTGTCCTGGCGTCTACAAACTAAGTTGCCTCTGTGGTAGTAGTTACATTGGAGAAACCAAACGCCATGTCTCGGACCGCATTCGTGGACACAAATCAGACCTTAAACACGGTAGGACCAACACCTCGGCCGTGGCAGATCATTGTTCTAATTCAGTAGGCTCACATGACATTGACTTTTCCAAGACAGAGGTTCTTTGTAAGCCATCTGGCTACCATGAGAGATTCGTTCATGAGGCTATCCACATATACAAACACAGAGACAATTTCAACCGAGAAGATGGATTCTGGCTTAGCAATCATTGGAAGGATTTGATAAACCATTTCGGGTCTTAATTGATTGTTCATGCTTACGGTGGCTTTCAGACAGCATATATTATTTTCGTCTCCCCCCTCCTCTTTTCCGAACATAGATGGACTCGTCCATCTGAACAAACTGTCAAATCGCACTCCGTGGTGCTAACGTTAAAAATAAGCGACACTTTTTTCAAATTTTCTTGCTGTGGTTTTCACACCTGATGATGATTGCTTGTGTTGCAGTCGAAGCGTCGTGATAATTTTATTGTTTTATATTTTTATTTTATTGTTTCCCTTCTACGTGACTTTACCAAAAGAACCAAGAATATGAATCCCTGCAGTCATGAAAGCTTAAATTAAAAAATAGTAATGCTACATGACCGTGTGGTGGTGAGGTGTTGCTTGAAGCTGCATGTAGCTTAATCCCGAAGGCTCGGGATTAAGCTACATGCACGGAGAACAGACCGTGGCAGCACCTGCCGTGTTCACCTCGGGTTTAACGTGAGCGAGCGAGCGAGGGGGGGAGGGAGGGAGAGAGAGAGAGGGGTGGAGGCAACGGGCAAAGTGGTACTGACAGAGTTGTCGTGCACTGTTGACAGCTCCCGCTGCGCCACCGTGCACACAAACACCTCCCTTACACGCGGCGACAAAAATCCGATGGAGAGTAAAAATCCGCCCAGGGAGTTAACGGGAGTATCAGGCAACAAGTGAGGCTTCGCCGGGACGGATAAGGAGCGAGAGTGCGAGCGAGCGAGCCGCGCTGAATCCGTTCAAGGACGAACCATCGCCTGCGTGTGCTGCGGTCGGCGGCGGCGGCGGCGGCGGTCACTTGGCGTGCTCGCGGCGCGGTATCGGTGACTCGCGCGCGCCGTTACACGGTCTGGCCCCGTGCTCCCGGAACCGTTTATGGGCTCGGCCGTGCGCGGAGGCGACTGGAGGTCGAGGGGGGTCCGTCGCGGTGGTGTCGGCTTGGCGGGTGACTTCCCCCGCTTGTCACATCCAGTTTACGTCCGGTGGGCGATCGATGGCCCCTGACCCTGCACCCTCTCCCCGTCCCCTCCCCGTCCGCGGCTCCCTCCCTCCCCTTTTCCCCTCCCTTCCTACCTCCCTCCCTCCCCTCCGTTGCCTCCCTTCCCCCCCTATCCTCCTGTGCATTTTCTCGTTGCTGGCAGCACATATTTGCAGAGTGCCTGCCTTGCAATCATGGCTGTTGTTTGCTACACGCTAAGCAGTGTCTCACTGCACAAGTGTATCTCCTCTGCCAGCCTTGGGCCAGTGATTGAATTTCCACATGCCTATGGTGGGGGGTCCAGTGTCATCAACTACTGTTGATTTCATAGAAGGGATGCAAGCTGTCATATTTATTTTGGTAAATATTTAGATTTGTATTTATATATACGTCTCCCACAAAAAAATGAGTGACCCTTGGGTCTAGAAATTGCAGCAAATCTGCAGGTTTCTAGTGGCCGCTGCAGCTTCCAGCGCGGAATCGATCTTTGGGCGCTTGCGTGATGCGATGTGGCCAAACACGGCGCTCGCGTGCAAAATATAAACTTGACCCTTTGCCTGGAGTCTTCAAGACAAGATTGCTGCGGGTCCACGACAGCTGCTGCCCTCTCCCCGTGGCCTCTCTACATGTCGCCGAATTAGTTTATCTTATGTCAAAGGGTTTGCCATCTGTGGGGTGCCCCAAATTAACGATTTCCTGTAGAGTCCTGGTAAGCAAAATTTAGTTCACACCACAGGCTCCGGTGACACTTCCGCAGTTTTTCTCTCTTGCGTCACGATGCTGCCCTCTACGGACCGTGGCCGAGCTCACACGGAGCAAACGGCACGGCGCGTTGATCAAAATGGACCGCGATGTTGCCGGGAGTGTGGGTTTCACGTGAGGAAGCTGCTGAGTAGTTACGTAATGGGTTTTCCTGGGTATCCATTTGAGTCACGATTGGCAAGAACAAAGCCGTGCAATAGCGCACCGTCCTTTGTTTCGGCCTGCTTTACAGTCTGCTGCCAGGCTTCCGTTTTTTTAAAGAAATTTTTTCTCGTGGAGTGTCGTGGTGGTGGCGGCGCAGCGAGGTGGCGCACTGCGCTTTGAACCCACGTGGCATGAGATCCAGTCCCGACCGTGGCGATCGTCAGTGGAGAGTGATAACTGAGCGAGTCCTGGCGTCGTCTTAGCCAACCTGCAGTGTCGCGCAAACCCCCAATCGCTGGCATGCTGCGGGAAGGCCTAGATTGACAAGCTCATTAGTTTGCCGTCCTTCCCCCACACCGATTACATTTATAAATAAAGTAATTTATGCTTTTAAATTGAGCCCTTTATATATATCCACCATTGGATGTATGTTGAACTTCTTTCGCGCCGTACGTAGCCAACCACGCTTATCTACTGGAGGCCCATCCGAAAGCGGTGGCATGAGCAAGCAATTGCAGGGCTGCGCCCCTTACCTATGTTGAGGACGCGCTCTAAGTCCACCGCCACGTGTCCCCCCCCCCCCACCACTACAGCTGCTGATGGGACTCGGGAACCAGGGCGCGGAGAAGAAGAACTCGGCCTCCATCGCTTGCTTCCTGTCCGCAAACGGCGCTGACCTGTCCCTGCGAAACAAGAAGGGGCAGTCGCCCCTCGACCTTTGCCCCGACCCCAACCTTTGCAAGGCGCTGTCCAAGTGTCACCGTGAGAAGAACAGGTGAGCAGTTGGCCGGTCCACGTTATCCACGGCTCGCGACTACAGGGCAGGTTTAAGTCACGGTCATATCGTGTGATAAGATCAGACGTGTGAACTTGTATGGTTTAAACGGGTACTCGCACTCCACTGGGCTGGCGCGATTAGTTGGGCCGGGGCGGATACGTGACGGTTGGATATATACGACGTTCTGCTGTGTTGGTATCGGCATGTTGCCGTGCTGTGATTATCGCACTGGATTCGATCTTCCGGCGCGGCAGTTGAAAACAAGTGGGGGGGGGGGGGGGGGGGGGGGGGGGGGGGGGGGGGGGGGGGGGGGGGGGGGGGGGGGGGGGGGGGCTTGTGTCTTAAATTCCTCCCCTGCTTCTGTCCACCAAGCAGTCCGCTTGGTGGACAGCCAGTCAATCAATCGGCAGGTCTCACATGTGTTGGAGAAAAGCGTGGGTACTCTCCCACCTCCTCCAAAACGTCCAGCCGGCGTGCAAGTTGGGGCAAAATTCCTGCAACGGTGCTCTCGAGAGCCACCTCTAGCGGGGAGGCCCTTCCGCTGAAGCGGCTGGCGTGAGCCAGCGATTTCAGGGCCTGCGCCTTTTACCTTTTCTGTGCATTTACCGCATCGTCGCTGTGGCTCCTAACCGACAACTCCGCCGGCGCAGCCCGCAGGCGTCGTGCCGCAGCCCGTCGGGCGGGGGGGAGAGCGGCGGGGAGTCGCACGAGGAGTGCATGGTGTGCTCCGACCTCAAGCGCGACACGCTCTTCGGGCCGTGCGGCCACATCGCCACGTGCTCGCTCTGCTCGCCGCGCGTCAAGAAGTGCCTCGTGTGCAAGGAGCCCGTGCAGTCGCGCACCAAGGTGGGTCGGTGGGTCGGTGGGTCGGTGGGTTCGTCCGGTCCAAGGGAGCAGTGCACCGCCACCACCAGAGGATCGGTCACCCAGGTCACTCGTGCAAAATGAGATTTGTCCCTGGATCAAGGAGTTCTCTCTCGCTTGGTTCAACAAAAAATCGTCTTGAAACTTGACACGGCACCAGCAGGCGGCGAGGGGTGGCGGTGTCCCAACGACCGTGGCCCAAAACAGAGGGCGCCCCATGGATTTCCCTACTCAGTCTTATCCTACATCACATGTTAATCTCTTAATTAAGCAATTAATGAATGAGTACATTCGTGCATAGTTTAGTTTTCTAATTCATTCATGAACTGCTTAATTTATGATTATAGGATGAGACGGAGTCGAGGCATCCCTGTGGTGCCCTCTCCACTGTGCCACGATTGCTTTCTTATTTTCATTTCCGTCCTTGGTTCAGTTTTGTTCATTGCGTTCAAGTTGGACCTGCGCGTGCAAAAGTCACAAGTCACGTTTCAGTGTCGTTTCGCTTAGCCAGGCGAGAACACACACGAGACCAGGATGAGTCTTATTTTGCAAGAGGCAAAAACCGAGACCATCTGAATGACAATGTGAAGATCCATGTGGAAAATGTTTGGACGTCAGCCACAGCACTTGTGTGTTGTACAGAGCCGAGTGAGGCCTCATGTTTTCACCATAAGGTTCCAGGGATGTGTATGGTATTGACGATGATGATGTACGGTCCACCTAGGGATTTTGATCTCCAGTGGAAACAACAAATGCATGGGTTGTTGCGCCGCCTGCCGGATAAAACGCAGCGTTGCACCCAAGAGAAAAGGGGACCGACCAGTGCGAGGGGCAGTGCCTCACGAGGCTTCAGCTCCTGCATCCGCCACAATTTTAGTCACGATTGTGGTTCATAATTGAATCATCCCGTCCGTGTGCGTGCGTGCGTGCGTTTAGATCGAGGAGTGCGTCGTGTGCTCGGACAAGCGGGCTGCCGTTCTCTTCCAGCCGTGTGGTCACATGTGCGCCTGCGACAGTGAGTGTCTCCTCTCGGCCGCTCCCGCGAACGCGGCCAGCGGCGAGTGGGGGGGGGGGGGGGAGTAACGCCCGTTGCTCACGATGGTCGCGACGTGGATCCGGCCGCACCGCCCGCTCATGTGCCCGCTGCACTTTCGATAGTTGCTCCCTAGCATAACGTAACGTTACACCCAAGAGCCGACGAGACTGTGTGGGCGATCTTTGTCTTGCGTGCATAATGAGCGGTTTGCGCTCGAGGTTGGCCACGATCCGGCGATACTACGATGAATCGACCGATTGAATAAACTCCGAGTGTTTGTCAATAACACTATGTGTGTAGCCTTGAAAGGTTTTCCCTGGTTTTCCAAACGCGGTGTGACCACGTTTGGACCCACATTTTCACCCACACCCTATCCCTGATCCAAACCTCTACTCCCTTTCTTCCCGATCCGTATCGTGACCTGCACCTTAACCATCCTCTTGACTCACGTGAACCCACACCATCTCCCTGCCTTTCTCTATGACCCACACCATGCCCTCACCCACACGTTAATCCACACCCGGCCATGCACCGTATTCCTGATATTTCCAGTGACCCCCACACCTTTACCCACACCCCGCCCATACTGGGCATCTGTGAAAAAGAGCTTTGTAGTTCATCGGATTCCTCCTGTCTCAACAAAGATTCTGACATTGCAGAACCCACGCCTTCTCCTCTGACGTTCTCTGTGACCCACACGCCGACTCGCACCCTAACCCCGGACACCCGCCGCCTGTGCCTTGCCGTGTCCGTGCCGCGCGCAGACTGCGCGAGCCTCATGAAGAAGTGCGTGCAGTGCCGCTCCACGGTGGACGTCCGCGTGCCGTTCAGCGTGTGCTGCGGCAGCAAGGCGAGCGACGAGGAGGAGGAAGAGGATGAGGACGACCCCTACAGTAAAACCCTCCCGCCACCTCACCCGGGCACACGCACACGCTCGCCCAGATTCCCCCCCCCCCCCCCCCGCGTATGCCTCTGTGGACTGGTTGGCGTGAGTGCCGTTCGAGGGCACCTGTTGAGGTCAGCACGGCGCCCAAGGTGGGGTGGTGGGCCCCAGTAAACTTTCTTGGAACGTTGAGCCAACGTTGGCCCAACCGTTCCAACCACGTGCCAATGTTTGCCCAGCGTTGCATGTTTTTATTGGGGTGGTGGCCAATAACTTGCCTGGCTGCCCTCCTCGTCTGTCCTGCGCTGATGTTTACTCACCGCAGAAGGTGCTCGTTTGAGACTTGAGTCGACCGCGGGGAGACCCAGAACTAGTACAGATATCACTGGCCACTTTGACTGTGAATGGAACCAGGACAAAGTTTTCAGAGCGCAGGCAATAACCACTGCTCCACTCACGTGCACACACATACAGGTACAAGCACCCGCACACACACACATGTACACAACCCGCTCGGGCACATCAATTTAAAGAATGAGTTGAACTCATTCTTTGAGATTTCAGTGGGGATAGAGACAGGGCATGGGATGCCAAATGAGTTGCATCCTGAAACAAAGTGCGCAACAGTGCCACCTTGTGGCAGAGAATGGCCCAGAAAGAAGCACTGAAAGAATGACCTCTCAAGTTACTTCATCCATAGGAGAACACCTCTCTATTAAGCTGAAATTATTAATTCTCAGAACGGGGAAAAAGCGAGAACCAACTTTACTAGGGCAGCTTTTTTGGTGCCGTCATTGGCGACCAGGCGGAAACCATCGACACGCTGCATTTGAGCGAACCGCTGCAAAACAAAAGAGCTTGGTAATGGCTTTGCTTTGTGGGTAATCGTGCGGTTGTGCTTTGTGTGTGCGTCAACGCAGGTGGCATGGGAAACATGCAGCCGCTGCAGAAGGACAAGGACAACACGAACATGAACGCTGACATCCACAAGCTGCAGCAGCAGCTGCAGGACATCAAGGAGCAGGTACGTGGACTAACCTGCACCTCTCCTGCACCGCTCCTGCACTGCTCCTGCACCGGTCCTGCACCAATCCTGTACCGGTCCTGCACCAGTCCTGCATCGGTCCTGCGCCCGTGCTGAGCACACACAAGTCTGTTACGGCTGCGGAAAATACTGTAATCTCACACAAAGCGACTGTGCAGATTGGAAGAGTGGCCACAGAGATCTGAAGAGAGACGAGCATGAAAGAGAAAAAGACGCGGCGAGAGACATGGACAGAGACATGCGGAGAAGAAAAAACAAGACGGAAGAATAGAGAGAAAGACGTACTTAGGAATACAGTTGGACAGATGGACGCAGTGAGAGAGATATACACACACACAGAGACACACACAGAGAAATAGAGACAGGCACATAGAGAAACGGGCACACACAGACATGGAGAGAGACTAAGAGAGGGAGGCTAACAACTGGAGGTCCCCAAAAGAGCAAGTGCCTTGTGCACACGCACATGTTGTTGCGCACATATTGGCTACACTGGGTCAGAGCACAGAAACAGTGTCATGTGACTGTAAACAATCTCAAATTTTTGTCACCACTGATGTTCGCCGTGGGTGGGAATTGAACCCGGCTTTCTGGGTTCGGAGCGCAGTGCGCTAACCACTTTCACCGCGACCTCCCCCCGATAAGATTATTGTTGAAGTGAAGATGTGCACATTCAGGTGATCGATTTTTTTTTTGTCATCGACTTGAATTACTTTCGGCTCTGTTTTGTCAATTCTTCTTTTTGTTTGTGACCTCCATATGCAAGGTTATTGTACAATCTGTCTCGGCTACATTTACACACTTCTTGTTGAAGTGACTCATCTAATATCTGCTGCCCATGCTTCTTTATACTCCCCTTTAATGTGTCAGCTCTCCCCACTCGCCGTCTCACACCCACCATACCAGCTGACATCTTCCATCACGCACATCAGTCTGTGCGTGATCAGGGGCGGAGCCAGGATTTCAGGCCAGGGTGACATTCAACAAATGTTAATTTCAAGAATGATTAGAGTCAGGCTGTTGAACTAGATGCCGTCGGTTGGCGACACACTCTGACAATGCAGTTGCACGGAGTCCGCCAGACCGAGTGTCGTACACTTATACGCAGAATGTCACCCCTGTCACCCCCCCTGGCTCCGCCCCTGTGCGTGATGGCGGGGGGGTCGCTCTCACTGCTTTCGTGCATTCGCCGCCGCAAAGCCCAAACTTTCTCTACCAGGCCTGTACATTAGCCTCCCAGCCATGAATTACATCCATATCAGAAACCGTCGCTGTAGATCCACCCGGTAAAGAGAGATGTAGTATTTTACCTTGGAGACGCATACGTACGTACTCGCGTAAGCAGGCTGTGCTCCGTTCTGTTTAACATGAGTATTAAGCTGCTGTTAATATGAAAAGTTGGGAAGTCACGCATTCGCGTGGATTAATGTAGCAGCTTTCCAAAATGCGTTCGTCTTCGAAAATGTTTTAATTACCAGTACGAAAGAGGAAGGGTAGCCGTCAGGGCAGATGTGCGTTGGATGTTGACAGTCAACGTTACCTCCGCTTTGCGTCTCGAGGATTTGAGTGGCTCGTTCATCAGTTTGGCCCACGTTGAACAGAGGCCGCTGGGTCCGACAGTGAAGTGTGATGCGCATCATTACGGCACACTGAAGGGCATGCATCATCATTGCACTATTGACAGCACTGAACTCTCACCCGCTCGTGTTTGTTGTGTTGTCGATGCACTGATGTCACTATAAATGAACGCTAATGACCGTTAGCTTCACTTGAACTTTTTTTTACGGATCTTCAAACTCATATTGGATGGCGCTTAGCACAGCTTCAGTACAAATCCACAATATTAGGGCTGTCTGTCTTTTTTGGTTTGCGTCATACTTTAAAAGTTACAAAGCCTACACTGTACATTACCTGGATGCATGTTTGTATTTTTATGTTTTATACACATATACACACACACACAGTGCCTAAGCTGGGTAGAGCCTGGTTAGTTCTTGGAAGGGTGACCACCCACCATGCATAGATGGTCGTGGGGCTACGTGGTGGGCAGCAGAGGGCAGTGTGTAAAACTCCAGTTTTGTATTGTACTTTGCTCCAACGTCTATGCTCTCCTCTTTCACCAATGGGAACTGACCAGCGTGATGGCGAACGGTTACATAACCCAGACGGTGTGCGTAGGCCCTCGTTCTATTGTAGTTTGACAAAAGGGCTGTACGTGCGTGCGGGCATACATACACAATATATACAGCAATCAAAATGTGTTGTGTTCTTCCCTTTTCCACGTTGCAATCTCCCCCCCACCCCCACCCTCCGTTCCATCCCCACCCACCCTCGGACACGCAGACCATGTGTCCCGTGTGCCTGGACCGCCTCAAGAACATGATCTTCCTGTGCGGGCACGGCACGTGCCAGCTCTGTGGGGACCGCATGAGCGAGTGTCCCATCTGCCGCAAGAGCATTGAGCGCCGGGTGCTGCTCTACTGAGGACGCTCGCCCGCTCGCCCGTATGCTCGCCCGCTCGTCCGTACGTACGCTCGCCCGTTCGCTCGCCCGTTCGCTCGCTAGCCCGTCTGCCGATACAAACCCGTACGTCCACACCATGCGCACGCAACACCTCGCTCTTTGAAAAATCACCACCCCGCCCACACTCCCCGCCCACACCCCCTCCTTCAGAAGCACGTGCCCGATTATTGCTGACCTTGTGGCCGGATAGGCCCGTGTGGGCGCTCTGTGCCTGGGCGGTGGTGCGAGCCATGCGGTGCTGCCGCGTGCCAGCCGTGCGGTGCTGCCACATGCCAGCCGTGCGGTGCTGCCACGTGCCGGCCGTGCGGTGCTGCCACGTGCCAGCCGTGCCTTACGCGCTCACTCGCTGCCTAGGGCGTGCGGTTCACGTCACACGAGGACCTCGTTGATCGTGAACGTAGATTCCTCCCGAAGTAGAGAATATAGCGTCGTGCAAATTCCCAGTAGGTGGTGTGGGTGGTGGCTCCCGCCCGCTCGTTGGCACACAGGCACGTAGCGAGCCGCGTAGCGAGCCGCGTCGGCAGCCGTTTTGCTCTCCTGCGTCCCCGTCGAGGCTGTGGGAGTGGCGATGGGGGTGGGGGGGGGGGCGTCAACCCCATGGCATTCAGCCCTGCTGGGATCACCTGTTACAAATGTACAGCAAGTGCCGCATACCCCCGCCTGCAATCAAGCTAGGCAAAGCACCAGGCACATCTACGACTTATGCCCGGAGATGCAGTCGGATGACATTCGTTCAATGAAGCGTTTCCCGTGTTGGCGTTTTCGTCGCAGTCGGTGCTTGACAGTGTCGGTGTTGTGGCTCGGCTAGTGGTCACTGTAGCAGCGCTCCGTGCAGACTGGCTATTTGCCATTCGTGACCTATCATGGGCGTGCTTTTTTATCGTCAGGACTTTATTCTCGGGCCTGATTGTGACAAGAGTGTTCTCAACGGGTGTTCTTGGTCCAGCAAGCGGGGCAATATTAGCGTTGGGTGGCATAAAGGCACGGTGTCCACATCTGAGGGTCCCTCAGAGTCCAGAGAAGGTGAGGATGTCAGATACAATAGAAAGGGCGGGGGGGAGGGGTGGGCGGAATGGAGTAGATAGTGTTTCCGGGAGAAGCGGAGTTTAATTTGTCCAAAAACCTGAGAGCCTCGTCCCAAGCACTGATCACCACACAAATAAATATCTCCGTAACAGGAGTCTGTATGTGGTTCTGTTTCAAGTTATGTTCGCGTTGGGTTCACAACCAGAATCAGAAAGCCCTATCTGGACTGGATGAATTCGAAAAGCTATGAAGCTCTTTTTCGCAGATGTCCAGTCCGAGGCGGGTTAAAAAGTGAAATCAACACACAATACAAACAAGATAAAGGTAAGCGAGTTGCTATAAATAAAGTATGTAAGTACTAATTGCGTAAGTACAAATATACCTGCCGATTTGTCAACACCAAATACAAGCTTGGGCAAGGCAGCAAAACAACAACAACAAATTGTCCCAGACCCTCACCAAGCCAACAACACAACCCATGTAACCCAAACGGGATTCCTACATTTCTTATTTTCATACCTTGGGCTTGAATGACAGGAGTTGCCATGTAATTTACTGGAGCCAAAACAAACATTGTGCTTTGTCGCCTTTGCAATGACGCAAGAGAGCCCCCAGTGGGAGCAGTAAAGACAGACGCCCGTTAGATAACAGAGGCAACAGGAGACTTGCTTCTTATACATCGCAGCCTCGTTCCGATATCTGGCCAGAAGATACCTTCGCAACTGTCAAGTAGCACAACTTGTAGTATGATGCAAACTCCGTTTGCGGCAAAAACGATGGGAGCCGCCAGTGTACGAACACGTTGGGTGAAACGTGCCACGTTGGGCTCTGTCCTGGGTGAGTTGTCTTCTCTGTGTGTCTAGATGACAGCGCTGGTCCACCGAAGGCTGCGCCGGCGCTGAAGTTACTGCAGACTTTGATGGCCGTGTTTGTTCCGCGTGGAAATAAATATTCCAACTCGGATCAACGGGCTTGAGAAAGTGAAGCATGTATTTGAACAAAAGAACCAGCGAGTTAATCCACGTGCATACATGCCTGAGCGGCAACCTTCTGGCTAAAAGCCGCTGCCTGGTTTTGTACCTATGCATTTTACCAACTCGTGCTGGTGCACAGCTAAAGACGCCATACCATTGCTGCATCTCACAGCGCAGTGCATCTTGTACCATCCCCCGTTTCACAACACCCAGCAGGACCTTCACTTTTCATCCCTCCTCGCCAACGTTGCTCTTTGGTGCGACTCATTTTGTGGCTTCCCACAATTTCACCCGTTTGCTTTTGTACCACGTTGCTCAAGAGCCAAAAACAGGATTATCAGGACAAAGACGGGTTCTTGGAGCTTGTTGCCATTTTCAAACTGCACCCCGGCAATCGGCTTTGGGGACGTTCGGCATCGCACGCAGAGCTGCTGTCCAGTTGAAGCTTCATTTCTTCGAAGCCGTCCCCTTTCGCATCCACTGTCATGGTCACCAAGCCACTGCTTTCCAGATAACCCCACTGGGCCAATAGGTTCAATGTTGAACGTTGCATTCTCAAAGTTCTTCGCTTTAATAAAGTAAACGGATGTCTGCTTCCTCTGCCAGCCTTGATTGCACGCGGAGGCAAAACTATAGTTTTTTACTTATTTTCCCAAGCGATTAACACTTTGTACCAAGTCTATCTCTTCCCACGATATCTGCTGAGCATAACTGCGGACTTGCGTTTTCATTGCTGCTGCACGACTTTACAACTTGTTACTATATTCTTTAACAATCATGCTTCTTGTTCAACATTTGCAAACTGTTCATTTGAAACATCAGTTCTAAACATACCAACACTTTCCGTTTTCTACAAAATGTCTTGCCCCTGAACGTTTAGTCCCAAAATCAAGCGATCGCAAAATGGGTTCATCTGCACGTGCTCCGTAATCACAACAGACGGCCGCTCGTCGCGGCGTTATCAAATACCAATCCACTCTTTCTGCGGGAGCTTCATTGCTTGCCTCGAAAGTATCTCTCCTGGCAAGATATTTTGCCAACGTGCGTTATTACTCGGGTCATGCGGCGATACCTTCGCGCGTTCTCGGTTCATCTTCGGATAGCTTCAAACTGTCACAAACTTTATTTTCATATATTTTCTGGTTACCATCAACCGAGCCCATCTTTGCTACGAGAGGGTTTTTGCCTGATGATGACAGATTGAGACGAGAGGTCTAAGGGCAAGAGGGCAAAAAAACCACGTGAACAGTGATGCAACGCCCCTTAAGAAAACTCTCCGACATTGTGTGCACAGAGACATGCACACCATTTATTTTTTAAGCCTTATGTAGCACGTTGTATAGCTAAACGTTATGTTTAAAGCGTTCGTGCATTCGCGTAGTTAAGCTTGTGTGATGCGTTAATTTAAGTGTTATCTCTCCCCGTTAAGACCTGTGTTACATTTAAACAGTTCTGTTATTGATGGTTTAAAGGTTGTTTCGACTGCTGTAATGCATTTGTAATCATGCTGATGATGCTAATGATGATGAAATGTGAAAACGGTTCCCCTAAGGTCTGTTCATGTGAGTCTGTTTGCATCGTGTGCGGAATAAGTGCCCATCACAAAGGTTCCGCTCCAAAAACATAAAACTGAGCCTGACTGGGCTACAGGGCATCTGTCTGATCAGCTGATGCTGAAGTTAGTCTGCCACATACTTGGTGCAACCTAAATCTTAACTTCATTGCTAGCTATTGAATGATTTACGTTGCGCTAAGTATGTGATGGCCCAAATACTGGACCAACCTAATGAGGCAAATGCTTGGTTGCCCGGTGGCCAGATTCAACTGAATGCTAAGGTGGTGGGTTGGCTCTTTGCTCGAGCCCAGTATTTACAAAGCTCCAGTCCACGTGACCACCCCATGAAAGTCTTCTTTCTAGTGCGTTCCATGTGCTGTCACGTGCTCTGTATCGTGGTGGGACGCAGACATACACGCACACGCAAATCCTAACACATTATTATACTTTGGTATATATTGAGAGATTGCGTGTACGTCTCTATTTGATTGGAATCGTTGCTGTCAATTTCCCGTGAGACGTGTTTATCAACCGTCAGTCACGTGCAGCGTGAAATGTACCCAATTTGTATTTGAACAGCATTGGCTTTACACGCAAAGTGGTGGGTCGCGAGAGCTTAAAACTCTGGAAACATTGTCCCAGCCCTTTACATTGGTATTGGGTCATTGTCCTAGCCCTTTACACTGGTATTGGGTGTTTTAATGAATGAGTACAATTGTTTTGAGACTATGAACACCCGCAGCCCGGACTCCTATATTCACAGCTTTATACTCGACGTCCAATCTATCGAGCGTTGTAGTGTGCAGCTTACACATCGGCCTCTTAAATCCAGTGTCAGTACGGCTTTCATTTATATAATGGGATGGACATCATAGCCTACCCTTCTGCTGAAACTCAAGACGAGCAAAAGAGATGGAGCATTGCTACCCCAACGACAACAGAGTACAACTGCTGCCATTAGGGGCTCGGATCGTGGCAATGCAGGGTTAGCGCTGTAGCCTTAGGGTGGGTCCGCACTTGATCACTAAACGCAAGTAACTTAATGTAATGGGCGATTAAGGGCCACTGTTAAGTTACATACCGCTCGTATTCACTTGGGTGAACTTTGGAACGTTAAGTGAACCAGTGGCTAATCGGGATCAGGGTAATCAGAGGTTGAAGCCAAGGGTTTTTGAAGCGATTGTACAAACCACGTGGCATACAATGTGACCATAAGATTTGCGTGCCACTGTGGCCGAGCGAACACGTTTCGCATGAAGGCAACGTGATGTTCATTTAACGTTCGTTAAAGATCCAGTGTGAACCCACTCTTGAGTAAACGTCCTTCGGCGTACGTTATCTGATGGCTTTTAGGAACCGGTGCTATGATGCGAGACGTTTGATTTTGTTCAGACTTGGTCGCGTCTGCAAAGCTTGTGCGAACCCCTAACGGAACACGTATTCTCTGTAATGTAATAAAATACGTTATCATTGAGATGCCGCCCCCGTGTCTTCGCGTGGGATGAAGGGGAATTCCCACTGCACCTCTGTCGTGGCCTTCATATCCCCGTGTTGTGACGTTCAAGTGATTTAAAAGTAAAGTGCAATTGCCATGAGCCTATATACATCGTAGGACCGTGAATTTCAGTGCGAATGCAAAGTCTGGTGCTACTTGTTTGTTCCACGGTTACATTTAGTTCCCACGGATTAGCTACACCCAAACGTGATTTATTTATCAACATTAAATACTAACTGGCAAGCTTTTAACGTGAACTCTAACCAACAGACACAGTGAACTGTAATGGTTGTAAAAGTGGTATTAATGTAATGCACTGCTGCCTGTTTATTAACGATATTCTCGATTCTTCCTGAAGAACCGAAGAGTGTATTTTGGTGTTGTCATTACCTATAACATGATTGTTGTTCAAGTTGTCCTACAGTAACAATTAGTCCCCGCACAAAACTATTCCAATACCGTCAACAGCATCATCATCAATGTCACGAACAGCCACACTTCCACTAATACACATGACCAGCGGTTTATTGTGGTGACCTCCACCGCAAGCAATTACACGTGGCATCCCATGCGACCTAGGTGGTGCTCAAGGCCCCTGGCCGGCCCTCAACTGCCGCAGCGAGGCGGTGCCGCAGCGAGGCGGTGCCACGGACGGTACCAATGTGTGGGGGGGGGGGGGGGGCTTGCAGGTTCGTCCCGGTCTCATCCCCATGGGCCATGCGAATAGCGAGCCGGAGGACTTGGTGTGGCCAAATCAGTCAATTGGGGGGGGGGGGGGGGGGAATCCTCTAAAGAGCGAATTAAGTCTTCTCATCGTCAAAATTCAAATGTCGGGAAGTCTCAAGACTACGACTTTTCAGAATATTAATATTTATCCTGGAGGAATCTGATGAGCTAGAAAGCGCTTTTTCACAGATGTCCAGTAGGGGCAGGTAAGAACGTTACAATAAATATACAAAGAACACGATAGTAGTGAAAAGTAGAGGAAAGGCAAACAAATCGGCCAAAAATATAATGAGCTGGTAAGGTCGACTGAGCTTCGCAGCTGTTTTACGAGGACGACCACAGGCCAAGACCGCTGGCAAGTGGCGGCAGTGAGAGGAACAGCGCAGAGATGTCAATGTGCGAACTGACGAGCGAAAACAAAACGTGTTAACACGAAAGCCATACCAAATACGCAGACTCCGCGGTGCTGTTCCGATTTCCCCGGATACCCCTGGGGCTCGGTGTGGTTCTCTTCCCCGTTTCCCTGCCCTGGTCACCCTCACCACCTGCAAACCCACCTTGGGTCCTGTCGAGGTCCGAGAGGGCCTCTTCTTCAACCCCTCTTAAAGCAGTCCAGCCCAGCCGAGCTCTTGAGCGCGCAGCCACTCCTCAGCGCAGCACGACAGCAAACGAAGACTCGCCTACTTTTGCGAAATACACTTAAGATTAACACTAAAAAAATGGCAAAACAACCACATTAACCAATTTCGATTTAAAGCTTTCGTGACTGCAATGATTCATCTACACATGATCACTCGCATCTCACACGAGACGTCGCTCAACCCCACAGATGGCATCTCGTTCGCTTCTTTGGTTCCATGTGGCGTCAGGTCGCAAGCGGTGCCGATTAATTATCCTCGTAGCAAAAGTAGCTACTACTACATATGTAGTAGCTGCTACTACTACACGTGTAGTAGCAGCTACTACATATGTAGCTACTTTAGCTACTACTACACGTGTAGCAGCAGCAGTAGCTGCTACTACATATGTAGCTACTTTAGCTACTACTACACGTGTAGCAGCAGTAGCTGCTACTACACGTGAGTTTTTAGGTCCATGCGGTGTACAGCCGTAGTAGCTGCTACTACACATGTAGTAGTAGCTACTACTACATATGTAGTAGCTACACAAGCTACTTTCAAGGATCCCCGCGCTAAATGCTTTCAAGCTATCAATTCCGGTTCAGTGATTTTGCACTTGCTCTATTACTACAGTACTATACTGCCCTTCAACTGTTATGAACGACTGGGTGTTTAAGGTTAGCGATTTGTCGTATTATCTGGCTGTATAGCAAATGAAATAATACAATTACTATACTGTGCAAGGTATAAATGTATGTGTTTTAATATTTACGTGTTAATGTGGGGCTCCTTTATGAAATCATGCTTCAGGCCCCGCACTAGCTTCGTCCGGCACTGGTCGCAAGCTCCTGTGAGCGCCTCTCGCCCTCGCTCAGCCCCCCTGCGTTGCGCTTCGGGTCCTCATCAGCACGCCACTGAGGTTGGGATGACGAGGCCCCGGTCAACCCCCACCCCATACCACCCTCGCAGCTTTAAATTTGAAGGCGACCTCGCCCGTCTCTCTCCTCTCGCTCCTCCTCCCTCCCTCCCCTCTGCCGTCACTCTCTCAAGGCAATCTCCCAGTATTATGCCTACGAGACGCCTCCCAACTCCAGCAACAAAAACAGCGCCGAACCGATGGAGGGGGCGAGATGAGAGGGGAGGCGGAGGAGGGGGGAGCGGCTCGTACGCGCCGCTCAGCTGTCAACCCCACACGGTTTGCCCCCTATTCTTGTGCAGGGAACATTGAGTTTTTAGGTCCACGCGGCGTACAGCCGTTTCAATACGGGCAAAACAAATTGTTTCTATGTGTGTTGTGTTTCTCCCTTGTGATGGGACTTTGTAAGATGAACGTTGAGATTTATACGGTTCACGGGGTGTGACCAACACGGTCTGAGTTGGTCTGTAACAAGGTAGGGCACTGATCAGGGGTTGACGGGTTTGTTATAATCTTCTACACTCTTCAGAGGAGGACTCTTAACGACTCCTCTCTCAGCCTCGGCTCTAGCGCTCGACGCTGGACTGGGGAGTCGGTGCCGTCTCAAGCGTCGCCCCGAGGATCTGGAGCGCCTCGCCGGCCAGTGCAGCTCACGGAGAGTCGGAGTGATGTGCGAGTAGAAATCCGATGAGCCATGAAGCTCTTTTTTTATCCACTCATGTCAACCCGGCCCGGTGGCTATACCTGTCAACCCATAATCGCTGTGTTTAGGAGGGAGTGCAAGACTCACTCTTTTCTCATAGCTTTTACTTAAACGTTATTTTATTGTCTTTGCATTTTATGTTAAGTGTACAATATTTGTATAGCCCCCGCACACCCCCCCCCCCCCCCCCCCCCCCCCCCCCCCCACCTTGAGTGGAGGTGATATCACATTTAAAATAACTACGGTTTATCATTGAGCGTGATTCTGATGCTTGCTGTCACTGCTTGGGATGGCACGTGGGGGTGGCGGGGCGAGGTGGCAACGCGTGGGAACTTGGCACCAGAGGGCGCCCTTGAGCAGCGAACCGGCCCCACCGCGTGGCTCGACAGCCCGAGGGGCTCCGGACAAACACCGCGCGGCGCGGGTCGGGGAAGTGAGTGGGTGGGTGAGTCGTCGGGTGGGGGGGGGGCTAAATAAATAATGAACCAGAGGGTGGTGGGTGGGGAAGTTGTTACGGAGAGAAAGGAAATAAGGTGGAGGCACTCTGCTGATCTGCTGTGGCCGGCGTGGGGTGCTTAGGGGGTGGTTATTAGGGTGGTGGTGGTGGTCGTGGTTTGCGTTTGGCTTGGGATGCTGTCTGGATCGCAGGACGAGCTCTGAGTCGCCGAGGGCAAGCGCAGCCATGCAAGGTGATGTACGACTCCGGGCTCGCAATCAGCACGTCCACGCGAGTTTTCACATGGGCACCCTTTATGCGCGCACACACACACGAGAACGCGCGCGCGCGTACACACCGCGTATAGACACACTCGGGGGTGTTGGTCTCTACGGACTTTGTTGTTAGCGAGCAGCAGGGCCGTCTTTGTCTCTCCCCCTCCCTTTCTCCCCCCAATGGTGATGTACCACATCAGCTACACACTTGTTTAAAGGCTGAGTCGACCTAGGGAAGGCCCAGGAACGGTTCACATGTTCGCCACCGAACGCTGGCCGTGACCGGGAATCGAACGGCGGACGCTGGGTTCAGTGGCGCAGTGGTCAACGCTAACCACTGCGCCACCGCTCCCCACGATAACACACGCGATCCGTATGTATGCAGTTCTTACACACACACAGTGGTGTGTGTGTGTCCACTGTGTGTGTGTGCGTACGCAAACACATACGTAGGGTGAAATATGCACATGGTCAGAGTTACACGCACACAAACTCACAGAAACGTGCGTATGAACGGGACTACGTACACATGCATGCACACACACGCGCAAGTCACTGCACACGTGTACACAACATGCACACGTGTACACAACATGCACACGTGTACACAACATGCACACGTGTACACAACATGCACACGTGTACACAACATGCACACGTGTACACAACATGCACACGTGTACACAACATGCACACGTGTACACAACATGCACACGTGTACACAACATGCACACGTGTACACAACATGCACACGTGTACACAACATAGATGTGTTTTATTGCTCAGACAATCTGTACGTGCGGCAAAACCGATAACCGTCCCCCCCCCCCCCCCCTTGTTCTCCAAACCGGTTACCGGTAATGCAAGAAAAGCTGCTTTTAACACCGCTCATGGCTCACCCACAACAACACACAACACACACAACAACACACAACAACAACACACACAACACGCACACTCGACGCCAGCTTGTATTAAAGTGTAGCAATGCACTTTATTAAAGCCTTTATTACTCAACAGGCTATGAACGTGTGCACGTGTGTAGCCACCCCACCACCACCAGCCACCCTCCTGGTTAACAGCACTTGGCCCCCACACACTCTGCTGAAGGCTACCCCCACCCCTCCCCTAGGTCGACTCAGCCTCAAATGACTACCTGGCGCGGTGTGTAAAGCGTCGCCACTTTGGGGAGACAAAGGCGGCCGGGCCATGGTGCTGGCCACCTTACCCCAATGTCGCGTGCCGTGCCGGCCTTTCAATAGGCTACTGCACTCGCGAACAGCACTTGCCCCCAAAAGTCCGCTAAGGCTACACGGGGGATCTTTGCCTTGTTGGGTAATCGTTGCCACTCATTGGCGCACCGTTGTTGTTCTTGCATTATCCAAGTCACTCGTAAACAACAACAACAGATCACACAAGTGAACAAAAAAACAAGTTACCCCGTTTCACGTGCCGTGTGATTCATTGCTTTAGTTTGTTGGGTTAGATCGTTCCGGTAAACAAAATGTGCTTGTTTTGTTGCACTAGAAAGCGTTCACCACCCGACAGAGCCGATCAAAACAAGTCGCCACGTGTGGGCACACACGCCGGTCGATTTGGGGGGTTTAAGCAAATCCGGAGGACGAACGTCGATATTTCAAAGCGAAGTTTGAGAAAGAGTGGAAAAATAAGAGCAGTTTTTTTTTACCCTTTCTGGCATTAAAACGGGGGGAGATGTTAAGACGTTCAAAGAGCAAAACATTTTTTTTTGCAAGGAATCACATCCTGCATTAACCACACGCAGTACCTGTGGTGAACACGCAAACAAACATGCTCTGATAATTATATATGGATCGATTACGTGTGGTCAATGCAGACTTTGTCTTATTTTTAACACTTTCATACTGGCAAAAAATAGTGTGACATGATAAAGTTTGACAAGTTTGTACGACAGACCCAACTTGTTTTGTTTGGCTGTGTCGGGTGCTCAACGGTTTATAGTTTTTTTTTAAAGAAGACATTATAGACTCCATGATCTGACCCAGAATAAACGAATGACGAATCGTTATATTTGGTCGTGAAAGCTTTACACTCGCGCGTATGATGTTCACGATACGTCCAGGAGGGATTGTTTCACCATCGGAATCGTTACGTCGTCTGCCGGAGGAATCCGACGAGCTACGGAGAGCTGCTCTTTTTCACAGCTGTCCCCAGCGTGGGCGAGTCGTGGTTCGCAAAGCCACGACGAGAGGGCTTCAGGGGAGAGAGATGGAGAGAGGATTTCGTGGTGGACACAACCGCACACACGATGGGGAGCGGTGGTGTAGCGGTTAGCGCGCTCACGGCCAACACCGGTGAAGATTATCTGAACCGGTCCTGGGCCTCCCCTAGGCCGACTCAGCCTCAAATTAGTATCTTGTGCGGTGTGTAAACTTCGCCACTGGGGAGACAAAGGCGGTCGGGCGTGGTGCCGGCCACCCACCCCCTCGTGTACCGTTCCGGCCTTCATAGGTGCTCGCTAACACCACTTGCCCCTACAGTCTGTTAAGGCTATACGGGGCATCTTTGTCTTTTGTGGTGAACACATGTGGAACACACGTGCGCGTTACACGCATCGCGTAGAATGCTTGGCGATGATGTCAGCGCTTGCACGTTTTGTGTGTGTGTCCACGTGCATGTTTGTATGTATCTACGTTGAACTTCTTTCGCACCGTACTTAGCCAACCGTGTTTATTTAGGCCCATCGGCCCGTTTTTTGTCAGTCCAATCCATTGCTGGATGAGGGCCTCCCCCGCACCTAGCGAGCCATTGAGGGATATTTTAGTTGACCATATACTTCAGCATGCTACGATGGTCAGTGTGGTGGTGGTGTGGGGGCGAATGCAGTACTATACAACAATGTTTTTATATTTTGATTTAAAGCTTACGTGACTGCAGTAATTCATATTCTTAGTTTTTTCGGTAAAGTCACGTTGAAGAGAAACAACAAAATAATAAAATATATATAAAAAATAGATGGACTAGTCCTGGGCAAACTGCCAAATCGCTGCGCGTGACGCCAACGTTTTTTTTTTATAAATAAATAAATGCGCCGTTTACAAATAAAAATAAATTTATGCAAACCAACACACCTGAAGATGACCGTTTGAGTTATGGTCGAAACGTCGTGAGAATTTTTTATTGTTTTATATATTTTTTATTATTTTGTTGTTTCTCTTCAACGTGACTTTACCGAAAAAACTAAGAATATATAATAACAATGTTTTTGCTGCACCGTCCTCTGCTACCCACAATACCTACGACTCCACCTGCCTTTTGCACAAGGCGGTCACCCACCTAGGTTACTTTTCCCTGCTTAGCCTGCGAGATCTGATGAGATTAGGCGCATCCTGGATGGGCTGCTCATAGTCATTGTAATACTATTAGTGTCATGTGTGCTGTAGGTACGATGAACTTCTTTCGCGCCGTACGTAGCCAGCCGTGCTAATCGGAGGTGCGGGGGAAGGACAGCAAACTTTAACACACAAAACACAGTTCTAAAGAAATTAGTTTTACTCAGCAGTGCATTTAAGACACAGTGGTCGGAGATCGCTGGCTGTGTATTTCTCCAGGATAAAAAAAAAGCCTCCCCGAGTCTCAATGCTCTGAGCAGGAGGGTCCTGCAACATTGTAATTGTTTGGCCACATCCCAGTGAATGGGTGGTTCGTTTGGCCTTGACTGTGGGAGGAAACGGGAGGAGCGCAGAGAGAACCCACCCCGAGCCTGTGAAGGCATTAACACTCGAGGACAGCTCGGATGGATTCAAGAATGCACGACCCTACTGCTGTCCGCTGGCCATCTCGTTCGTCCGCACACGCTATTGCATATCGCCCGTTATGTCCCAGCTCTCTGCTGCACTGTGTATATTCAAGTGTCTAAATTGTGTTGTTATGCGATGGCACGTGTACGCATAACGTATGCTATCTGTGTGCCAATGCGTGCGTGTGCACTGCGCTTTGCAATGTTTATGAACAATAACCAAAAATATTCCCCATAAAGCCTTTAACAGGCTGTTGGGGCATGTGCTGTTAGCCTGCACCTATTGAGGCCGCCACGGCCACGCCTGGCCACCTTTGTCTCCCCCAGCGCAGATGTTTACACACCGCACCAGGGTATTGATTTAAGGCTGAGTCGACCTAGGGGAGGCCCAAGACAAGTTCGGATATTCGTCACCGGTGTTGGCCGTGAGCGGGAATCGAATTTGGGTCGCCGGGTTCGTAGCGCAGCGTAGCGCTAACCGCTACACAACCGATAATGCACACTCCTTCATACATTGACACAGTGTAAGTTTACACAAAGCAGATTATGTTTACACATTACGAGAGGAATTAAAACTCTGACTTTGTGAGTTTCATCAGCACACTATTTATTATACAACGCGGTATCCTGTTTGTGTAATTAGGACAACCAGCTGTTTCAATATCACAAATCTAACTGATAAACACTTGGTAACATTATTTCCGCATATTTTTTATTACAAACCTAAATTTTTGTTTGCACAACAGTAACATTGTAGCAAGCTCGAATCGATGACCAGGGTTTCATTTTCGTCAAATGAGAAACTTAAATCGCAAGCGACTCAAACGGGGACGCCTGCATACACCCAGCGTTAAACCATCGCCTCCCTCCTACTGGCAGCAGAGTCATGGCACCCCCACAGGTCACTTTTGCAAATGAGGTTCATCCTGGTCTCTTGAGGTCTCACCTGGTTAAGCAAAAGACTACTTCAAATGCATGGAGATGGAGCGATGACATCGGCTCATGTTGCGGCGTTCTCGACGGACCACTGCATTCGCAGAACTGTTCGAGATGGCGACGGCTCGGGGCCCTCGAGGTAGGCCTTCATCCAACAGTGGGTAGATCATGGCCGATCACGACGACGACAATGATTGCGCAAGGAAGCGCCGACGCAGCAGCAGCAGACGGGGGGGGGGGGGGGTTGCTGCGTGGCCGTGGCGC